GATTAATAGATCCTTTCATTCTGGCATCCCCTAAGCTAACATTAGTTATGTATATAGTCTTCTTTGCTATAAACTGTACAAACACCAGACACTGCATATGAGAATATGCTATAGCAGCTTTACAACCTGGACCACAATGATTATCTAAGGGCTTGTCTACACTGGCAATTTACAGTGCTGCAACTGGGCCCAAAGAGAACAAATTCTGGGTACTTGATAGGAGACCAACATTTTATCAAGAGCTCATGCTATTACTTGACTTAGATATTTCAGTAGGAAAATCCTTCTAAAGAACAGAAAATGTATTTCAAAAGAGATTCTGAAAAGACAGAATTTCACTTTATGTAGCAAGGCCATTTATTACTATTATTTAGCATTGATAAAGTGATCTGTCAATACACAAAATAAAGCTGTTCAATACACAAAATAAAGCTCCTGGCCTGAAGAACTTCCTATCTGAAAAACAGATAATGATGCTACACCACACACAGAAAAAGAGAGAGAGAGTATGGAGAGGGTGGCAGATGGGTTGGTTAAACACCAACATATAAAATCAATGTTACACCCTCACCTCACCTGGATTACTGTGGTCACCCTATCTCAAAAGGGATATTTTAGAAATAGAAGGCTTTCAGAGCCAGGTGTGAAGACTGATTAGACACTTGTAAAAATTTCCATATGAAGAGAGATTGGGACTGTTTAGAGAAGAGATGAGTGAGAGGGAATACAGGCTTCCAAAATAAATAATGGCAGACAAGGTAAACTGTGTGCTCCTATTTGCCCTGTTTCATATCGCAAGAACACGGGGACATAAAGCGATCAAGCATGCCAGCGGAGCACATTGCAGAAAGAGACAGATTGTGTGGAAGTGCTTCTCTCTCTGTGTGAATCAGAGCCATCTATCTCCATGGGCCAGCAGACTGGGCTGGAAAGAGAGAGAGAAGGCAGGAGGGACTCTGCCTAGCCTGAAACACTGACAAGACCTGCTCTGCCTCACAGAATGGGTGAGATCAGACCGGGGTGGAGCAGGAGCTGCATCTGAGGACTTTTATTTTGCAAAAATCTGTTAATCTCTAGTGCTTTTTAAGAACAGGTTAAGAAATTCCCTTATAAATGTGTTAGTCTCTAAGGTACCACAAGTATTCCTGTTCTTTTTGTGGATACAGACTAACATAGCTGCTACTCTGAAACCTAATAAATTCTGTGTTCCTTGCCTTCCTACCACACTTTCCCCAAAAGAATTAAACTAGAAGTCAGAGTGGATCTCTGGGGTGGTGGGGGAGCATGTGTAGGCAAAAAGGAGGAAGTCTACACAGCATTTTGGACCCCCTGGGAGCAAACCTGAGAACCTGCATTGACATACTCAGATAAGCGGGCCTCTAAAAGTAGCTGCATAGACAACATTTTGAAGTTTAGTGTTTGGGTAGAGCTTAGACTCTAAAGCCCACACCCTTCCCTATGCTTAAGGATTGCCAACCCTCCAGGATTGTCCTGGAGTCTCCAAGAATTAAAGATTATGTCATGTGATGAAATTTCCAGGAATACATCCAACCAAAACTGGTAACCCTGCTAGGCTTCAGAACTCCATCCCAACCTGCAACTACAAAGTGCCATCAATGCAGCTACTTTTAGAGCACCCAGCATGAGTCTCTGGGCTAGGAGGCGCATTCCCACATGCTCCAAAACACTGTGTAGACAGGCCTAGGGGGCTCAGAAGGTCTGAGGTCCTGGTTCCAGGGTCTGGGGCAGTTGTAGGGTTGCCAACTTTCTGACTGAACAAAACCAAACACCCTTGCCCTGCCCCTTCTCCGAGGCCCCAGCCCACTCACTCCATCTTCCTGCCTCCCTCTGTCGCTCGCTGCCCCTCATCCTCACTGCAGTTGGATTGTGTAGTCTACAGTGGCTTAGAAGCATGTTGGGTCTACTTACAGAGGATGACTGGGCCAGGTTGTAACAGGCATCACACAGAGATTTTTTAGGAGGGATTTGAATAAGAAGGAGGTGGTGAGTTGGCAAGCTGGCGTGAGGCATTCTTTCCAGAGGGCACTGTGGTAAAATTCATGAGTGGGAGAAGGGAATTAAGGCATCGAGGCTGGCATGTTGTAGCTGTTTTATATTTTGTTGACAGTTTATATGTGATTTTATTTTACAAACCTGTTGATTAAATATTCTGGTAATCTTCCAAATACCAGTTAAGATATGAAAGATTGCACGAGCACATTTTTATGAATAGTTAGAAAAATTTGTGTCCTACCAGAAATGTTTGTGCTTCAAAGGGCTGAATTCTCCTGTCTGCTAAATCCACTCTGCATCGCATGGAAGTTTTCCCATGTTTTCAACTGACCAGAGAGGACCATTGGAGAAGTTTCTCTGTCTGGGGAAAATTCTCTGCTGGTGTATCTGCTTCCTACACCAGACACATCCTAACCCTTTGTTATGAGGGGAAGCAGGGAGCGTGTTGGGGGAAGGGGTTCGGGAGAGTGAAGCTACACATTACCCTCATAGTGTAAGTCAGCACAAGGGTGCAGCTCTCTCACATGCTTTGGGTCCAGGGATGGAGCCCATGGAGATTCTGTCACTCAGAATCTGAGAGAGGCCCCAGTCAAGAATCTCACCCTAAATTGTTAGCCTATAACAAGACAGTAAAAACACAAGACTTTGTACATTATAGACTGATGCATTGAAAGTTTCCTGTTATTGATTTCTTTCCTGCCTCTCGCTAGGCTCAGGTTCATTGCTTCAGTATCTCCACTGAAGGTTAAACAGTCTCTGGTTTTTCTGCTTCAGTTTATTTTCCAGGCTTGTATGCCAGCACGAACCAGGAGCAATTGCATCTACTTTCAATTGAGTAAAACTGATGTGAGCTCAAAATCGGGCATCCTGCCTAGATAGCAAAATTTTCATTGGACTGTAATTATTTCTCAAATAACAGCAGAAATATAAATAGTAATGCAGTCTTCTATTTTTTGTCTTTAATTGAAACTTTTGTTTAGTGTTGTAAGCCTTGATTATTTCAGGCTGTTGTGCAATGAGTAGTGGGGATGAAAGGGCTGGGGGAGTGTCTCTATATCAAACTCAAAAATGATGTTATTTCCTCCATACTGCACTTGATTGTTCTTTGGTAACCATAGGTGCTGGAACTAGGAGTGCTGGGGGTGCTGCAGCACCTCCTGGATTGAAGTGGTTTCCATTATGTACAAGTTTTAGTCTGGTTCAATGGCTCTCAGCACCCCCACAGTAAAAATTGTTCCAGCAGCCCTCTTGGTAACAATCTATTTATTGAAATAGATGTGTAGTCCAAATGGTGATGGCTGAGGGTATTATTCTGAATTCTAGGTATCAGTATTTAAATACCTGGCACCATAGTTTTACATCCCAGCAGGCAAGCCTTTCATTCTTCTGAGGTGCATAAATACAGCTCCATATCACATACAGTGAGTGTTTTCCAGATGAGACCTTTCAAAACTGAGGTCCTGTCTGCTCTGTATTGGACAAAGTCCCATGGCACATATCAGATCAAAGGTTTCTCTGTGTATCCCTAGCCAGAATTTCCCCTACTCTGTTATTGTGCAGAATGCAAAGGGCCCCAGGGCTGCTACCCTTCCACTAAAGAGCTGACTGTATTTCAGTGGCAATATCATTCCTCTGTGTTTATAGGGCCTAATCTGATAGTCCTTTTTGAGGCACACTCCCATTGACTTCAATAGTCAAGACTTAGTTTGACCCTTCAGGTCAAATACATCAAATACTACACCTCTTCAAAAGTAGATTTTTAGCAATGTATTCTAGAAATTGTTTTAGTCTTTCCTTGAAGGATACCTTGATAGGAGCAAGCTGTTTTTATACAATCAGCAGTTATATACTTTTTGTTGCATACGGTGGTCTAGCATTAGAGATTCAGAGTTAAATCCTGGCCCTTTAGAAGTCAATGGCAAAACTCCGATTGACTTCAACAGGCCCAGGATTTCAACACCATCCCTTTGTCTTGTTGATATTTGGTATAAAAACAGCATCAGGTTTGACTTTTATAAATTTGGCAGTGCTAATCATTGGGAAGCAGTTTCTGACAATGGAATATAGTTCCCAGAAAAAAGCTTTAAAGAGGTATTATGGTTGGTAATATTAAATCCCAACACTAAGAGAACATTTAATTGAAATATCAATGTTGGCAGTGTAAGGCTTCAAAGTAAAACACTCAGGGATCAGGAAATGCCTGTAAACCTTAACTTTACCTCTTTGCATGTATACATCAGTCAATTTCCAGATCACATATGGATGAGAAATTCCTACCAATTCACATATGCACAAGCACAGTGTCAGTGGAACACTGGGACGTCATTAAAAAAAATGATAAAAATTGTGCATAATAGACGACATTATACACACACATATATTTAAACCTTCATAAATTGGGCAAATAAAAATTAATTTTCACCAGACCACTGGAAGGCATGTGTCCCAGGGAATATTTTCCTGTAAATATTTAGGACTATTTTTAAAAATTTGAAACTTTTGAAACAAAAGCAGAACAGTCTCTTTTCCTCCCATTTTCCCCTCTGCTTGAAAATGGCTGAACTGTTTTGCTCAAATTTTTAAAAATGTTGCCCTCAGGGAGCAGAGTTGGAAAACAGTCCAAAAGGTGAACACCTGATAAAATTATAAGCAACTGAAAAGGCTCTTTAGAGTGGAAACATGTATGCAACTTTAACTGGGGGCATAATAAATTGTGTGTGTTTTTTTAAGAGTGTTGGAAAGTCAGTAAATTTAAAGTTAAAATTGTAGCAACTTTATCCACACTGTATATAACTTGCTATAATATATCAGAGTTGTGGTGATCACTTATATTTCAAGGAAAGGCAGAACTACATGTAAAATATGGTAAGCCATGTTTTAAAGGACACCACTGCACAACACTTAATTCAAAGCATAACAACAAGTCCTCATTCCAGGAGCCCAGTGTTTTTTCTACCAAATTAAACTTTTTTAAAAAACTTTTTCAGATGAAACTGAGGCACACATTGACTATGAAGATAATTTTCCCGATGACAGATCGATGCCTGTGGCTGAGCATGAGGAAGAGCATGGCGAAGAGGAAGGGGTGGAGGAACAAGAGCAGGAGTTTTCCCACCCTAAAGATACAGAGGCAGAAAGAGTTGGAAGCAGCAAAGATGTTACTCAGGATATAGATTCTACTGAGAAAGGAAGCAAGGCATCAACTGAATCACCTGTGTCACTGCTGAGCCAAAAACACTTGTTTTGGTTCCCTGCAGAGTCTTTCAATGAGCCTGAATCTGACAAAGACACAAACGATGCCACTAAAACACAATTTTCTGATGGCAACAACCACATTGTAGTGAAAACCATCTATAATGAACCTGGCAACAAAATGATTTATGACAGCAAGGATTTCCCCATTGGACCTGTTCTTGTGAACAATGATACAAAGGCAATGAAAGATACAGTCACCAATACTGATGAATCCTGGTTAGATGGTTACCCTGTAACTCAGGAAGCAGTGGAGGATGACGAAGAGGAGGATAAGGTTGATGGATCGATGGGAACAGAAGATGACATTATCCTTACAACTGATCAACCAAATCATGTTGAAGTTAGAAAAGCAGGCAACAGTAATCCAGCTCCAGACAAGGACTTAACACAGATCATGGCAGCCCCAAAAAGGATACGTGATTATGGGATCAAAGAAGTACCGTTAGTACTAACACCAACAAGTGCTCCCGAGAACGTGAGTGCTAGCAAGGGCTCTGAGGATGTGATCAGGTATCACCCAACTACATCTTTGGGATTTGTGACTCAGGAGTCTACTACAACAACTACACAGCATGACTACCCCACCTTGAAAACTGCTACATTGAAAACCTCTACAACAGTCAGTCCCATTGACCACATTCCATATCCAGAGGCAGAAAAAACAACAGCATACCCAACACAAGCAGCAACCACTACACCAACTCGGGATGTCTTTTCTGACTCATTGTCTAATGAATTACTTGAGCAAGAAAATCTCATTTATGGCACAGGAGAAAAACTTCTCCCCACTTCTGAACCTTGTGTAGGAGAGGATTGTCCTAGCCCAAGTAAAGGTCCCATGATAGCTATCACTGTGATTGTTCTATGTTTATTACTGTTTGCATGTATCCTGGCAGTGTGGTGTTTCAAAAAACGGCAACAGAAGAGTTCTGTATATAAATTGAATGGAAAAGGTCAGGCTAGACATCCCCATCACCACCAACAGATTGAAATGCAGAAAGTCTAACCTGCTACCTGTTTTTGGGCAGACACTACAAAGCAAGAAAAAAAGTCACATGAATGGTGGACACTAAAATCCATCAGTGCAGGAAACAGGGGGCAAAAAACAAACAAACAAAGAAACCTGTGTGGGACAGAAGGAAGTTCAGCTGTTTGAAATAACAACTTAATATATCTTGACATTTCAGTGTTAAAGAAACTGTACATTTTTACCACAAGGGTCTTTTTGGAGATCTCAGCAAAAAAGAATGTGTTTGGTAGCGCAACTGGAGATCATTCAACATTTACATTTTGCTCATATTAATTAATAAAAGCAAATTCTTTGTCTATGACATTGTCTGGTTACAAGCCAATGGCGGGACTGGTCAGACCTTTCTGCTTTACTCTCAATGAAACAAAAGAGATGGGGGGCAAAAGTCTCTCTTTGAGCTTCCACATATGTTGGCATTTGTTATTTCTTTTAGAACTAACCAAATTTGTCAGGGTAGACCAAAACCAATGATTACATGGCATATCATGTGAGGAAAAATATTTGGTACAGTATGTTAATGTAATGGGTGATATTGCATTTGGAGAGATGATCACTAAGGTACTTTTCTTCAATGTTGTGAAATTTTCTTGAAGCACATTAACCAAACATGTAGGACATTAGGATACTTTGGGGTTGGCGGGTGTTGTTTTAACCTTAGGAAAGAAGTGCCTTTTTTTATATTAATCTTTTTTTGTGGAAGTAATGCTTTCTCACTGGAATTGAGATAATACAAATACTAGAAAACTCCATTCTTCCTTTAAAATAAGTAAGCACTGTGATAGTCAGTGCACTCCTCCTTTCAGGTGCTATGAGTAGCCCCTTACTCATCAAGGAGTCAGACAGGAATAAAGCCCTTGGCAGGAAAATACATCAAAAGTAATTTGTTCTTCTGAGTAATAGTGCTTTAAGACCAACTGATCCAGATGTTGAATTTAAATACACAGTCTATAACGTATGAATTAAAAACGTTATGTAGAATATATTTGCCACATTATTCTGTGGGATGACTGAAGTACACTTGTATATTCAAATATGGTAAAAAAAAAAAAGATCTTGGGGTCATCATGGATGGTCCTCTGAAAAACTTCTGTTCAATGTGCAGCAGCAGTCAAAAAACCTAACAATATTAGGTACCATTAGGAAAGGGATAGATAATAAGACAGAAAAATAATGTCATGATATAAATCTATGGTACTCCAATACCTAGAATACTGTGTGCAGTTCTGGGCATCCCATCTCAAAAAAAATATTACAATTGGAAAAAGCATGGAGAAGGGCAACAAAAATTATTAGGAGTATGGAACAGCTTCCAGATGAGGAGAGATTAAAAAGACGAGGACTAGTCATCTTAGAAAAGAGAGGAGTAAGGTGGGAGATGTTAGAGGTCTATAAAATCCTGAACGGTGTGGAGAAAGTAAGTGTTATTTACCCCCTTTACCTAACACGAAAACCAGGGATCTCCCAATGAAATTACGAGACAGCAGAGTACTTCTTTGCACAATGCACAGTCAACCTATGGAACTCATTGCTAGGTGATATTGTGGAGACCAAAAGAATAACTGTTCAACAAAGAATGAGATAAGTTCATGGAGAAAAGGTCCATCAGTGGCTATTAGCCAAGATGGTCAGGGAGGCAACCCTGTGCTTTAGGTGTCCCTAAACCCCTGACTGCCGGTAGCTAGCACTGGACAATTCAATAATTGCCCTGTTCTGTTCATTCCCTCTGAAGTATCCAGCACTGGCCACTGACAGAAGACAGGATGCTGGGCTAGACGGACCACTGGTCTGACCCAGTATGGCCATTCTTATGCTTTTATTCTCTGATGAACTGAAGGGGAGTAGAAAGTGGTCAAAGAGATTATGTGGAACAGTGGGAGATACATACGTTCATAAAAACTGCTTATTTGGTTTGAAGTATAAAAACAAACCTAGGCAAGAAAGATCTTGCCTAATTGTTACAATGAAAACTCTTGCCTTTTAGATTCAATGTTGTTTCAGTTATTGCAAACATGGAGGCTCTTCCAACATAACATCCTATTTAGAATTGTTAAGAATAAATATGGGAGTGAGAGAGATAGAATATGGTTTCTATCATCCCTGGAATAATTTTGCTTATTTAGGAATGAAAAAAATCTTACTGTTTGTTCTTACTTGTCCTAATGACAAAAGTAGTACTTGTAACTATGAATAATCTGCAGGTAAGAAATGAGCTTGTCTTCTACTCCTTACAGTGCAGTCTCAGCCAAAATACTCAAGTCATTAAATAGATCAAAGCATGAAGGGGGAAAAAGGTGAAATATTGAAAGATTAATCAGTGGAGATCATATAGGACCAAATTCTGTCTTCAGTTACAGTGGTGTATATTCTGAGTAATTTTGGCCCCATCTTGGGTAACTCAACCCCTATATACTGGTAACAAAAATTAAAAACAGGATTTTAAAAATATAGCTACACATTTTGTGAAAGAATATGACTTTATAGAGAGCAAGAGGAGTTGAGTATTGTTGCCTGGATATAGACAGCAAGAACAGAAACTGTGTAAATAGTGTGTTTCCTGTTATACTGCATGATTTTAATGTGTTCTAGAATATGAAATAAACTAGGATTACAGTTGTAAAATATTTTTATGAGGTAACTTTTTTTAAACAATGGATTTAGCACTAAGTAACTTTATGGAGTCTGTTAACTCAACTAAAACATACTGTGTTATCTGTGTGGAAATATACTGCAAAATAAATGCAAAAAACATAAATTTTTAAACTTTTTTTAATCTTAAATTACCAAATCAGTGTTACAGTTTTGCATAGTGTTATTTGAATGAAGTACAGCTCAACAAGCTAAGTAAACAAAGTCAATACTGTTAGTGTCAGGAAACGTACATGATGTAAAAATCATACACAAATAAAGTTACAAACACAAACTGCATGGGGCTCTTGTGAGACTCTCAGATGCTTGTTATTCATGAAAAGGAACAAAATGTACATTAACATAGTACTCTGAGGTATCTACAAAGGCAGGGAGGAGAAGGATGGCAGTGTGTGGTGTTGTTCAAATAACTGACTAAACAAATTTGTTTGTAGAGGAAATACTGGTCTATCTATCAAGGATTTCTTGGAGCAGATATTTTGATATTAGAATTAGTCAAAAAGTGTTAAGTCCAGGTCATCAGCCCAATTCTATTCAGCAGAATGGCTTTTCCTCCTGAAATTTACATCCTGAACTAGAATGCTGTTTGCACTTGTGGGTACTTAATTACCAGAGAGATACTGACCAAAATAATGGGGGGCGGGGAGTAGGGGAAGGGGAGGAGAAGAGGAAATCAAACTTTCCTCTCATGTGTAGCTTGGCTGATCAACTAAGGCAGGGTGTGGAGAGCATAATAAATACAAATACTGGAAGGATGAAAAGGCAAAAGTGAGGGGAGAAATTACTTAGCATAGTAAAAGTGTATAACTAGCAGCAATGGGCTGAAATTAAAACAGGGAAAATTGAGGTGGAATATCAGGAAAAACAATGACAGTGATATCTGGTAGCTGGCAGAGCAGTCTGTCTTCTTATGTGACCATCGCTGTAGTGTTTTCCTTAAAGGAAGCTCTACAATTTGACATTTTAAAACTAGATTGGACAAAACACTAGAAGATTTACACAAGGGAAACTGGGAGGGAAACTGAATAGATGGCCTATAAATCAATCTCCCGCCCTCCCTTATCTTTAGACTCTATAAGGGTATGTCCACACTGCAAAGAAAAACCTGCAGCAACAAGTCTCAGAGCTTGGGTCAATTCATCGGGGCTCAGGGTTAAGTGCAGACGTTCCCACTTGGGCTGGAGCCTGGGCTCTGAAACCTGGTGAGGGGGGAGGGTCTCAGAGCCTGGGCTCCAGCCCGAGTTGGAACATCTACCCTGCTATTTTTAACCCCGCAGACCAAGCTCCGTGAAGACGAGTAAATTGACCTGGGCTCTGAGACTCAAGAGCTACAGGCTTTTCTTTGCAGTGTAGACATAGCCTCTGAGATCTATTTCTTGTCCTCCATTCTATAAAAAACAACTCCCAAACAGTAGAGGCAAGCTATCCTGAAAATATTTACCACCAGGAAGAGAGGTTAATACTTTGAGGTGTTCCACTGAAATTAATGAGGTTCCTCACAGGAGCAAACCCTAGTTCTGGTAAGGTTTGTGGGATCAGTCTCTTTAGTAGAAAGGGTCATGCTCTCTCCTCCCCTAAACAAACATATAAAAAAACCCCGATCTCTGGACTCTCTCTCTGTAGTTGTCTTAACATTTACTGACCATGTCACAACACATTATTTACCTCATTGCACAGCTGCATGGAGTAGTAGGAATCCCCCAATATGCACCCATATCTACAGAGAGATTTTTATGGGCTTCTTGCTAGGGATGATGGATTGATAAACTGCATCAGTTTTTAAACTGTATAGACCTGGATTTACATATTCACTAATTTGTAATGCTAAGAAACAACATGGTGCTATCAATGGAAGATCATGTTAAAATAGTTAAGACAAAAACTGATGAGGCAAATATATGACTCGTCATTTTACAGGATTATGCTCCAGACTGCAAATAAATGTCCCAACACTTTTTGCAGATAAATGGTAGAGAGACTGACACATAGGAACAAAGCCAATTTTAAAACAGTAGTTAACAGTTATATGCAGTTACAGCTCTGACTCCCATAATCCCATTATTTTAAAATAAGTAAAAATTCCATGGCTTTCCAAATGTAAAAATTAATCATATTCATCACTTAATGCCATTTAAACACACCAATCCAAAAGCTATATTAAAGGGGGTAGGGAGGAGGTCAAAAATAATCAAAGAAACTTCTACCCAAAGGTTAGCATTTATAAGCTTTAAAAACCAAGAACTCAACAGAATTTTGTTTCCATATATCACCAAACGCTTTTAGAGAGGAGACGGGGAGGAGAGTCTAAGCAATTTAATATCTCCTTTAAAAAGAAGTCTCCATTTATTACATTTTTCTGTAGGCACTGAAGAGGAGTTAAGATACAAAAATCCGATCTGCTGGTGTGTGTAGTCTGATTTACAAAACTTTTGGCTATTTCTTACTAACATCTCTTTTTGTATGTAGCTTAAACTCTCCACACTAGGTCATTCACGCATTGAGTCACCAGAAAAAAGAAGTCGCTGTTTAAAGGATGGCAGACAACCAAAAGTTCAGACAGCAGCAATGAAGGATTAGTTGTGGGTTTTTCTCACTGCCCTGCTGCAAACTGCATCACAGCTCTATGTTCAAACATTATTAAATGAGTATGTTTTCTCTGGCATCAGCTACTTCTCTCCACAGTTTAAGTATTGAATTTTTTTCTGAACTGAAGTAGTTTTGGTTTACAGCCCACATTAGAACTTAAAAAACATATTTCCATAGTAGCTGGCATATGCAGGCAACTGTTTACCCTCAATTGCAGCCATCATAAACATGAGTACATTTACAGTCCAACACATCTTTGTCTGTTTGCAACTCAGTATTTAGAGCTGTAAGAAGTGCAGGTTATTAAAAATCACTTTTTAATGTAACCCCTTTAAAGGGACAGATTTCCTGTGTTCGCCTTTGCTGTCAATATCCACCAATATTAACTTTCTTGAATGCAGGGATATGCAATGGAGGTTAGTTACAGCAATGGGGTAAGCCATTTAAAGCAGAATGTTCTAATATGGTTTTAGACGGAATAAAGGAATAGTTTGTTTGTGAGGCACATCTTTAGTTATATCTATGAGTGTGGGTCTATTCTGTAAAACATGTATGTAAAAATGGCACTCTCTTAGTCAGAAGTATTTCCCCAGAGATATTCAGAATCACATCTGCTTTAATTATTAATTAATTTTTTAGTCTTGGTAGCATTGCAAAGCAATACAGCTCAGGGGGAGAGAGAAAGGGAGAGAACTGGATTCTGTTTTGCCTCTGAATTGCCCAACAGAATTATTAATTAAGGTTTCATGGCAGAATCTTTATTGCTGGCAGTGTGAGAGAAAGAACCCAGCTTAACTTTCAGATTCCAGGTTGAATTTGCAGGAACTGACAGTTAGAAAAAGGTTTTTTCCTTCTAAACTGAACATATTTAATACAGAAATCATTGAGACACAGTAAATATGAAATCCATTATGCCACTGTATAGTAGCTTTTCAGAACATAACTACTCTAATGTTTGAACAATACAAGAAACCACCACCACTATTATCTATTTTATTTGAATGAATGTTGAAGCTTATGAAAGTAAGTTACTTAGAAGCAAGTGAGGCACTGTAGTAGCTAGAAAGAGTCCATGCTAGAATACTCATTACAGCTCTGCCAAATAAACTCACTCCCAACTTGCAATACTGCTAATAGTCCAGTCCTGATTCACAGTCTACAGATTAATAGAGATTGTCACTATACCCAACTGTCTGATAGTTTAGACATGTGGACAAATACCCATTGGGAACTAGACTGTGAAAGCCAAAGTCTGTGACCCAATTTGAGCTAAAACTTCCAGGAAACTCACTATCCTGCAAAAGGCCTGTGCAAAGCCCTCTGTCCAACATAAGATCTTAACATAGAGCTTAAGTGGGGCAGAAGGCCTGGTGCTAACCATACCCTCTGGGATCAGTTTCATTCAGCGTTCACCAGTAAATGCTGACTACATTATTATTTGTGTAATCCGCAACAGGCTATTACATAACTGCTTGTGGGCAGCAGGAGGCGGCTCAGAGAGACTAAGAGCAATCATCCAAATATCTTGCTGGGTTATTAGAAAAAGCAAGCAATTATAAAAGGCTTGATACTACAGTTCTGACACAGGCAAGACCACCACAGAGGTCAGTTGAGTTATGCCCACATATGGGTGGTAAGATGAGGTGCAAGATGGCTATGTGCACCAATGCCACATGTTAAAGTGGTATGGAACACACTTCTGTCAAAACTCCCACATGTACACAGTAGCTTGAATGAGATGCAGTCCAAGAGAAGGAATGGAGCATAAAATAAGCCTTGAATAAATATTAAAAGAAAATGAAGATAAAACACCAAAATCTCACCAACTAGGCAGAAGCTGCTAGGACAAAGGCACTTGCAGGAATTTTTTTTTTTTTTTGTTGAGAGCAGGAGTGGAGGGAGGGGGCACTGCCCTGCCCACCTCCTGACCCCAAGAAGAAATGCACAGATTTATTGCAGTAACACAGTGTTGGCATTTACCAATAGAAGCAGAGGAAAAATCACTTGAAAGAACATGAGAATGCTGAAAAAAGCTGCATTAAGTACTAAAGGACTGGAAGAGCAGCTATTTCTCATTAGAAAAGAGCTGGAGCTTGAGAACTCCCTGTACTTGTTAAAATTGAACTGGCTTGAGACCATATGTAGTGGAAATTACTAAAGTCATAAAAATGCACATGAACGAAATGAAAACAGATCACTGCCATTTTAGAAGGGTACATGCATTTTTACATACCTAGTTTACAGTATAGAACAACACTCATAGATAAGGCTCAGATTTTGTCATGGATATTTTTAGTAAAAATCAGGGACAGGTCACAAGCTTCCATGAATTGTTGTTTATTGCCCGTGACCTGTGATTTTTACTAAAAGTATTAAGGACAAAATGGGGAGGGAGGAGGGTCTAATCCCCACCTGCGCGGCTGGGCTGCTGTGGAGGAGTCCCCCACTGTGGCTGGGCTGCTGCAGGGTTCCTTGCTGCCCGCCATGAGTGGGCAGCTGCATGGGAGCTCCTGCCTCCTGCTGTAGCTGGGCAGCTGCGGCAAGCCCAGCCTCCCGCAGCAAGTGGGAGCTGCTGGGGGCCTCTGAGAGAGAGAGAGCTGTTGCCTGCCGACAGCAGTCTAGCCCCGGGGCAGAAAATGCCACAGAGGTCTCTGGAAGTCACGGATTCCGTGACATAATCGTAGCCCTACTCATAGATAGAACTAAAGATGTACATCATAAACAAATAAATTGTGGGGAAAGCTAAAGGGAAAGAGACCAAAATGATCACTTAGATGCAAATAAAATTGGAAAAATCAGTCCCAATAAGTCAAATTGTGGGCATCCATTCCTGAAGAGGTCTGTAAGGCACTTTATTATTTATTTATTTTTGTATTACAGTAGCACCTAGAGGCTCCACTCAAAGATTAAGGCTCACTGTGCCAGGCATCATACAAACAAGTAACAGGAAGACAGTTCATGCTCCACTGACCTCACAATGTAGGTTTACGAAAAGACAACAACAAGAGGGAGAGAAGAACTGAAAACATAATTAACAAGAACAAGACAACATGCATGGAAGTATCTATCCCAGAACAGCCCCATATGACTCACATGTGATTTCTGAAGGAGAGGCTGAGAATCTCACTGAGGAGAAGGTATTTGGGCAGATGACTTTAACCTTGGATGTCAAGTTTCTAATAGGAGAGATTGGAAACTCTCCTTCCATACATCTTTGAGAGTCAGGGGATATGAGATAACTCCAGAGTAGCAGCCTCTCCTCAAGATCTTGTACTAAGCATACATAAATTTTCTAGGAGATAAAATATCCCAGTAGGGTACAGGCACTCATATACCATGAGGGGTATATTTTAGTGTGGAATGAAAACTAGCTTATAGTAAGCTGCTACATATTTTAAAAGCAGAGTTAAATTCATGCATAAACATACAATAAATAAACCCTAACATTGTGAAGCACAAGAAGAAGTGTATGGAAATCTGAAACATTCCACATATGCTAAAGCACCCAGGCAAAGAGTGGGCCAAATTCTGCTCTCTTTACAAGGGTAGCTGCACTGAAATTAATGGGGCTATTACGCTGGATATACAACTGTGTAACACAAAAGAGAACTTGGTCCATTGACTTCAGTGGATTAAATTGGGAATAAGGGATTGCTTAAAAGAACATTCAGCAACAAACTGGGGTATGAATCTACTTCACCAGCCTGCTGTGAACTAACTGTTCATGTGGACCCTGCTGATCAACTTTGATTGAGTCCTCTTTGAAATGAGACTATATCAAAGTGCATTAACTAACTGTTAATACAGGTCAGCAGGGTCCAAACAACAATTAACCTGCAGCAGATTAGTATGAGGATTCACTCCCCAGATTGCAGCAAACTAAATGTGCTTGTAGAAAAGCAAGAGAAACAGCAGACAGAATCTGACCCTATACATCTTTGGTTATATTTTAAGGGTTTGGTTTTTTTGTTTTTGTTTTTTTTATGACTAGGGATTGCAGGACAATCTAAAATGATTCCTCACCTGTGGATTTCCTTTTTTATTCCTGATACAGCTTGGAGCTAGCGTATAGCTGGTAAATGTGCAGTAATGACTGTTCAGCTAAATAGCAGGGTTCAAGTTATTTTTACTGACCATGCTTCTCCAAATTTACCAGCACATACTGGAACTCCATAGCTGAGTTAGGGCTCAGCCATAAAAGGGGCTGAATGCCCATGCCTCCCATTGAAGTGAGTAGATCTCAAGCACTTGCAGGTTCTAGCCCTTAAAGAAAGACCTGATATCCTGGCTTCACTGAAGTCAATAGGACTTTTGCCATTGACTTCAATGGGGCCAGGATTTCACCTATTATCTTTAAATACAATATTTTTCATGGTCTTCAAAATATTTATTTATAGGGCAGGATCATATACATAACAAGGAAAATACACTAGTGAAAAAGATAGGAGTTCAGTTTCCCAAATAGTCATCACACCTATGGTCAAAAGTTGGTATAGATGTATTCTTCATGATCACATCCCATCTACCATCAACAATGGGTACAGAGATTATGATTACATCTCAAGTTTGCTCTTAATAAAGATAAATGGTTCTTCAAATAGATACCTTTATCTCTACTTCCTTTTGGGTATGAAAATATGCACATTGCCAATCAAACTAAAGAGCATGAAAACCCTTATCTAGATGAGAGAATACAAAAACCATATTTTTTTACCTGATTAGCTCTTACTCACACAAGAAGAACCATTTTAATTCAGTGAAACTACTCACATGGACAAGGACTACTTGTGAGAGCAGAGGTATGCAGGATTGGGCCCTAAAGGAGCAAAAATTGAGAAAGAGAAATTTAACTACTTATTGCATTAATTCTGACTGATCTCCTGCTTCATACCATCGAACCTAGTGCAATTTTCAAGACAGATCAAAACTGCTGACAGAAGGAACTTCTCAGAGCAGTTTTTAAAAGGCCATTAGTTAAGTCAGTGTAGTTGTAGCCCAGTCAGTCCCAGGATATTACAGACAAGGTGGGTGAGGTAATATATTTTATTAAAATAAAAAAAATACTACCTCACCCACCTTGTCTCTCTAACTAGCTAAGTCAGTTAAACAAAGCACATTTCAGTTATTTTTTTATTATTATCATATTGCCTGGGAACGCTAGGTATGGACCAAGACCCCACTCTACTAGGGATTGTACAAACAGAACAAAAGGAGAGTCTTTGCCCAAAAAGTTTACAATCTAAATTATGGAGTAGTCTGTTTGATGCATTAGCATCTTCTGATTCACTGAAATTTAGTGTAAGTTTGTTACTCATCATGGGGAAAGCCATATACAAAATACCATTACATGCCTCAGAAAATCTGGAGAGTTGGTATGCCCTATTCAATTGCTTGGTCCATATTCTGGCAAAACCTCTTCAGAATTTAGCCAAGCTATTACAATTTAGCTGAGCAGACTGAAGGAGGCTCAGTGACAGGTGAGAGCATCTGAATAGCTCTCTTTTTTTAAAGTACCATTTTAAAGAAATCAAACACAAGATTATACCACATATGGCTCAACTTTGAGAGCATACAATGAAAAACCACACTCATGAAAAGATCAGTGCAGTGTAGCAGTGATCTCACAGGAAAGACTCATGACATTTGACTGAGGTTAAAGATACAGATTTGAGGTATCTCTAACCTGAGCTACAAATGATGATATGAAGGCACAACAGTGGGTCTTTATTTTTTAAAAACTATGCCTTGTTTTTGTTCATCAGGATTCACTGTTTTCATCCACTTCAAGGAGTTCATCAAGGAATTCCACAACTTCACCCTAAGAGAGATTAAAAGATAGCAGGACACATGTTAATTACTTACAGTGGAATGGATGGAAAAGGCTTTACATCTTATCCTAGAATTAGATTGTAGCAGAAATTGTCAAGAACAGACTGATTTTATATAGTACCTTTCATTTGCTTAAGATAGTGCAAAGAGCCTTCAAAAGTAATGAGATAGCCTATTTAAGCGTAGAGCACATGGCTGCAGTAATGACTCCATAGTTATGTGCCAGATTTTACAAACTCAGGACCCTGAGTAGTCCACTGACAGATCCAGATTAGTTTACTCATTAAGGTCCTGATTGAGCAAAATACTTAAGCATAAACTTAATTTTAAATATGAGTAATTCCACTGACTTCAACAGAACTACTTGCATGACTAAAGTTAGGCATGTGCTTAATAGTTTTTGGAAAGATGGGTAGTTAATTTTACAGTTATATCAATCTTTGGACTTTAGGAAAATACCTCAGATCTTAGCAGAGGTAACAAATTTCAAAAGCCTAGTGGAATTAGAAGCTCTGCCAACCAGACCACTTGGGTTCAGAAAGGTTACAAACCCCTCCGCGCTAAATCATTGATTAGAATACTGTGCCGTCTTGTTTTTCATTTAACATATGTTGTTTTTACACTTGGTCTATAATTACAGCAAAATATAGACCTTATCAGAAGAAAATATTACAGTTCACAGCAAGTTTTCATAAATAGTTTTCTGTAGTTAAACACACCTGGGATACGTCTACACAGCTGCTGAGAGGGTGCTTCCCAGCACAGGCTGACAGTCAGGCACTAGCTCTGCTCACACTAGCATACTAAAAATAGCAGTGAAGGCAGTGTAGCATGGGTGGCAGTTTGGACTAGCTGCCTGAGTGGGTACTCAAGGGGTCCAGGTGGGTTTCTACTCAGGTGTCTACTCCAAGCTGCTGATGGACTGCTATTTTTAGTGCACTACCTTGAGTGGAGCTAGTCTGTCTGTCTCTACGTGCACTGGAAAGCATCCTCCCAGCAGCAGTGCAGACACACCCTTAGGAAACTCAGATTAAAAATGCAGCAGAATGTTCTTTAAGGATGCATTAAAATATCCATTAAATTTGGACGGACGCATCAAGGATTCTCATATGCTGCTCCTCCTCCCCACCTCTCTTGCCTTGTTTTCCACCACTGACCTTTGTTCCTGCATGACCTACTCTTCTTTTTACCTACCTGCTAGAGCTGGTCCAATATTGGAATTTCTGTTAGGTGTGAAATTCCAACTTATTTTTAGAAAAAAATATTCCGAATCAGAATGAAAAAGTTGAAATTTCCCATAAAATGAAATTTCCAATAAATAAATAAAAACATAATTTTGGGACAATCAAAACATTTTAATTTTGACTTATTTAAAATTTTAAATACAAAATAAAAAAATAAAATAACTTTCTAAACAAAATGTTGTTTTGAAATGAAAAATCTGAACACTTTGTTCTGATCAGGTTGAAACATTTAGTTTCAATTTCCACCTTCTCCCCCAAAAATGAAATTTTGTTGAAATTTACACATTCCTGTGGAACATGGTTTTGATTAATGACATTTTCCAACAGAAAAACAATGAACTGGAAAAAATTCTGACCGGCTGTGCCTCGTTCTCAGTTTTTAAAAATCAGAATTTATAAGATTTGTTTTCAACACATTTATTTGAATTCTCCTCTCTCTTTTTTGTATTCCCATTCTTTGTTCACTATGTTCATTTTCTAGTTTGTCAGATGTAAACTTTAAACTGTTTGGGGCAGGGACTGTTTTTCCTTCTCTCTGTGAAGTGTCATGCTAAATTATGGTACTACAAAATAATAGTTTAAAACCTTAACTAGATTTTAACCAAGTTTCTGTCTGGGAATTTATGCATTGGGCACACAGCACACCCAAGTTTGTTTCTCAGCCTGGATATTGCTGCAATCTTCTGTACAGATGGGAAAAGGGCATTATATCCTCTGTGGTCAGTGAAAGGAATTTAAAGCAGAAAGAGGCTCTGTTTATTTTTAATGCAATAGTCACTGTGGCCAGGATTAAAAAAATATCAAGTTCTTCAGAAGTGTGAATTACTAAGGACAAAAAAACCTCCAAAAGTGGGATGACAGCTAGCTGGAATAACTGCTGCTCCTATTCCCAAATTCACAGTTCCTTCTTACAGCTGTGTTGGCGTTCAAGCAAACTGTGAAGTGATTTCAGCAGCTTCTGAAGGATGAGTTTATTTTGCATTTCGCTCACTTGAAACATAAGTATCCAAGTCAATAAAGGTGCAAGAAACAAACATTGCCAGTTCTTTTATATTCTCTATTTGTCTTTCTGTAGGCAAGCAGTTTGGAGTTATGGAAAAGGGCATTAAAAACATCTCTGCATAGCAAGGAACTAGTTATTCTTTGTTAAAAATAATAATTTGCACTTCTGTAGAGCCTACCATTTGTGGACCTCAAGATACTTTATAAATGTGAATGAATAAAGCCCCACAACACCCTTATGGCGTGAGCATTATCATCCTCAATATGGAAACTGAGGCACAGAGAAGTTAAGGCCCAAATCTTTAGGAATGACAACACTACATAATGTATTTGTATCTTTACTGTGGAAAACTCAATAACAATATATAATAAGTAATCTTTTTTAAAGAAAAGAAAGTACTTTGTAGCAAGTTGGTGTTAATATTTTCTGTCACTCCAAGTACATAAAATATTTGAAACAGAGGTTTTCATTTCCTTGTGGAAAAGCATTAAAAAAGTAACATGAATGAGGCAGTATTTCTTGTAGTGACATATGCAAAAATTATTAGTGCATATTCAGGCCTCTAACTATTGCATTATATTGTTAAACAAAACAACATGTTTGCACTTGCTTTACTACTAGGATTTAAGACGTGCTTTGTTTTGGACAGGAGAGCACTGCAGAATCTAAATAAAGAGCTAAACGATTTGAGAGAAAGAGCACAGTCCATCTAGGAAGAGGCCTACACCCTATTAATCCCTTTGGCTGGGAATCATTCACTCAAGGACTGATGAAGTGGTTTTCTTCCAAGGTTACAGTAGGGGGTTGGTGGCTTATAGCTCACTATAAAGACAGCAAGCTTGGTCCAGTACACTTCACAGAGATGTGGTCCATGTCATAAGACACTTGCAGATGAAACAGATGGACAAGCGCAAAAGGAAGATTCGTTCCCCCAGCTCAATTTTTAATATAACGATTTTTCCTGTAACATATCCCTATTTAAATGTTGTCTTCTACTTTACAATGTTTGTATAGAATAAACTGTCCTGTCAATACCGGGTGAAGTTTTTGAATTTTCCCAGCCTGCTTGTTTCCAAGTTCTCTTTTTTTTAGGACTTCCTCACTCCCATCCCAGCCATCCTTAATCAGGTGGGCAAGACATGGAGCACCAGAGGCCTTGCATCTGTCCTGACCAGCTATTTTCTTTAAAAACAGACTGTTTGCAAACAAACTCTTTGGCCTGGATCCTCCCAGAGACCTGTGCACAGAGGGGACTCCCCACATGCAAATCAACTCCTCCTGGCATGGAAGGTGGATTCAGTCACCTGTACCGCACCATCTCCCTTTCTCTAGACCTTGCAGCCTCTGTCCTAGAATCTGTGTAGGTGGAGAAGTGGTGACTGGAGGGGTTGGAAGAAAACATAACCCTCCCCTTGACAAGCAGAAATGCTGTTTTATCTTTTCCATATGATCTCTTCTGGGGATCTCAGAAGCAGCAGTGACCAGGGAGAGCTCCTGGTAGCCAAGGACATAAGGGGTAAACCAGTAGAGGCCAGAACCAATGCAAAAGCAAATGGACTTCATGTAGATGGCCTTGGCCCCCTGTCGGTTCCTCAAAATCTGTAAGGGAAAAAACTGAAGGGTTTCCCAGTCAACCATGGAAGGAAGGGAATGATGGCCCATATTGTACAATGAGGATGTATTCATTTATTTGGGGATAGCGGAGGAAGACATCTTTGCAGTGATCTTCAGAGATCACATGGCCCTTGATGGTGCTGGTTTTTACCCAAAATGTAATGCCCACTAAGAGTTTAAACTAAGGTCCTACTGCACCTGCCAACAAAGATTGGCCTGACCACCTCCTACAGAACCCAAATGCAACCAGAAAAAGGTCATTCACTGTTTTTGGATTCATAGATGTCAGGGGCAGAAGGGACCATTTTGATCATCAGCACAAGCAACAGAACTTCCCAAAGTAAGTTCCTAGAGCAGATCTTTTAGAAAAACATCCAATCTTGATTTTAAAATTGCCAGTGATGAAGAATCCACCATGACCCTTGATAAGTTGTTCCAATGGTTAATTACCTTTACTGTTAAAAATGTACCCATTATTTCCAGTCTGAATTTATCTACTTCAACTGTTGGTACATGGGATCTGTGATCAAGTCGCCCCTTAACTTTTTCTTTAAGATAAATAGATTGAGCTCCTCGAGTCTATCACTATAAGGCATGTTTTATAATCCTTCAATCATTCTTCTGGCTCTTCTCTGAAACCTCTCCAATTTATCAATGTCCCTCTTGAACTGTGGGCACCAGAACTGTACACAGTATTTCAGCAGCGGTTTAACCAGTGCCAAATACAGAGGGGTAAAATAACCTACCTACTCCTATTCGAGATTCCCCTGTTTATGCATCCTGGGGTTGCATTAGCCCTTTTGGCCATAGCATCACATGTTCAGCTGATTATCCACCATGACCCTCAAATCTTTTTCAGAGTCCAGCTTCCCAGGAGTCCCCTATCCTGTAGTATGACCTACATCCTTTGTTCCCAAATGTATACATTTACATTTAGTGACATCAAAACACCATTTGCTTCTGCCCAGCTTCTCAAGAGATCCATATCCCTTGAATCAGTGACCTGTCCTCTATGTTATTTACCACTCCCCCAGTTTTTGGGTCACCTGACAAACTTTATCTGTGATTATTTTTATGTTTTCTTCTGGACATTGATAAAAATGTTGAATAGTGTAGGGCTGATCCATACTGGACCCCACTAGAAATGCACCTGTTTGATGACGATTTCCTGTTTATAATTACATTTTGAAAACTATCAACCTTCTTTTAATCCATGTACTGTATGTCACGTTAATTTTATACTGTTCTAGGTTTTTTAATCAAAATATTGTGCGATACGAAGTCAAATGCCTTACCGAAGTCTAAGGACATTAAATCAACACTTGCCTTTATCAACCAAACTTGCAATCTCAGATTTCAAATTAGTTTGACAAGATGCATTTTCCATAAACCCATATTGATGGACATTAATTATATTACCCTTCTTTAATTCTTAATTAATTGATTCCCATAACAGCTGCTCCATTTTCCTGCCCAGGATCAATGTCAGACTGACACGCCCATAATTACCAGGGTCTACCCTTTTTAAAATACTGGCACAACATTAGCGTTTTTCCAGTCTTCTGGATCTTCCCCAATGTCCAAGACTTATTGAAAATCAACATTAATGATCCAGGGAGCTCCTCAGTCAGCTCTTTTAAAACTCTTGGATGCAAGTTATATGAACCTGCTGATTTTAAAATGTCTAAGTTTATTGGTTGCTGTTCAACATCTTTCTGAATGGAAAGAGTGTTACTATCATCAGTCATAAACTGCATCATCTATTTTTTTCCCAAATAGAAAAATATTTATTGAACACTTCTGCCTTTTCTGCATTATTATTGATAATTCTACCATTTCCATCTAGCAATGGTCAATACTACTATGCGGATTCTTTTTGTTCCTGATATACTTTAAAAACTTCTCCTTATTGTCTTTAACTCTGCTGGCCGTAGATTTCTCCTTGTGTCCTTTTGTATCCATTATCAATTTTCTAAAATTCCTAGCTTGATTTCTATTCATTACTGTCAACTTCCCCTTTCTTCCATTTTTTTTTTTTTTTAATAACTGCCTTCACTTCTCCTCTAAACAAGGCTGGTTTTCTAATATGGCCTTCTTCCTTTATTGAAGCTTTTTGAGCATCTAGTAAAGTGCTCTTAATCAATTTCCAATTATCACTCACATTTTTCAGCTCATATTCTTCCTCCCAGCTGATTTACCTCACAATTGTTTATCCAGCTTTGTGAAATTGGCCCTTTTAAAGCATAAAGTTTTAGGGGAAAATTTAATGAATATATTACATTACTGAATGAATTCAAGGAACAACAGTCAACAACTATTCACTCCCATTTATTCTATGTACTGTGCCTAGGGCGATAGTTTGTCTCCATAATTTCTGCTCTAAAAACACACCTTGAAGACCATCATGGTGGAATGCTTCTCCACCTCCTTCATTACCCTTCCTTTCAGTTATAGTAGCAGATGCAAAGTGAGAGAGAAATTACAAAAGAAATTTATTTTTATGTCCAACATTAAACTTTATGGGCTAAGTACAGTATTTTACGAGTCAGCTGGGAAACATAAAAAGTGCCCAAATGTTTGCAATCTCTGAGAAAACCAAAAACACTCTACAGATACAGGAAAAATACCTTTTGAAATAATATATTAACCAAGCAAGATCTCTAAATCTTACCTAAACTTAACCCTATAGAGAGCCTTACCAAGAACACATCACAGAGATAGATCACAATAGAACAGTGGTTCTCAAACTTTTGTACTGGTGACCCCTTTCACATAGCAAGCCCCTAAGTGTGACCCCCCGCTTATAAATTAAAAACACTTTTTTATATATTTAATACCATTATAAATGCTGGAGGAAAAGTGGGGTTTGGGGTAGAGACTGACAACTCACAACCCCACATGTAATAACCTCGCAATCACCTGAGGGGTCGTGACCCCCAGTTTGAGAACCCCTGCAATAGACATCTTCTGGGCAGTCTTTTCAAGCTTTCTACAGTCTAATCTTGAAATGGAGCTTTACTTCTAGTACAGGTTTTTAGTCACTCATATAGGTGGCATTGCTTCTAAGATGTAAAATATTTATCCTTTCCTTTGTGTCACACACAGTCAAAATCACAAGGTAACAATTTCATTTTATAAAATGGTACACCTTCCCTCCATTTTCAGTTCTAATGAGGGCACACCCTAACAGTGGTCATTGCAAGGAATATTTATCCTAGTTATATGATAGGTTTCAACCTAGTCCTAGGCCAAATATTTTATACACTGCATTTATTTTGATGCCATCAGTGGGCCGTTCCCTAACTTTAACAGAAAATTAAAACAAACATATCCTTTCTGCCTGAAGGGTATCTTCCTTTAAACAGATGATTTATACTTTAATTCCAGCAGTGGGGAAGAAAAAATTGGTCTCTCAACAATTTAGCCATTTTTCCTGCACTGAAGAAAATACATAAATAATTTCATACCTCATAGTAGTCAATTATGTATCATTTGTTCATGAACTCTAAGCAATTAAGAAATAAGACTTGATGACCAAAATTTAATGGTGTAATAAGAATTAGCAAAGATAACAGGACTATCTGCTGAAGAAGAGTTAAATTTTAAAAAGTGGTTATTTCTAGACAAAAATTAGAATAATTTTTAAATCTAGTTTTAAGTAGATTAAAAAAGACTAAGAAAATGTCAAGTTTAGATATACAAGCACCAGCGGCGTATTAACGCCTAGGCCAACAAGGCCCTGGCCTAGGGTGGTAAATTTGTAAGAGCAGCCAGAGGCACCAACTTCCCCTGGCAGTGGTGGGTGCTCATGCCCCCCCGGCCCAGCCCCAACTCCACCCCTTCCCTGCCCCTATTGGTCCCCTTCCTCAAATCCCCGCTCCGGCCCCACCTCCTCCCCTGAGCATGCCACGTTCCCGCCTCTTCCCCCCTCCCTCCCAGCTATGCAAAGCTGTTTTGTGCACAAGTGCTGGTAGGGAGCATGGAGAAGCAGGACCCGGCGGCGTGCTCAGGAGAGAAGGCAGAGGCAAGCTGGGGTGGGGAACTGCCGGGAGGTGGGCGGCAATTATTTCAGGGCCTAGAGGCGGCAAAATCATTAATCTGCCGCTGACAAGCACCACTTTTGTGCCCCCTGGTGCTCCTGTTTTGAAGAGCAGAAAATCTTAAAGTCATTTTTGTCTGCTGAACATATATAACTTCTACATTTGTGTCAACAGTGTTACTTTCCCATATTATTTAAAAAGATACATATATACACTAGATTTTCTGGGTCTTTTTCTATTTTCACTTGTCAAAGAACACTATGATAATCTGGATAATTACTTTCTTTACAAAAGAGCATTTTGTCATATCCTATGCATGCCACAGAATTATATCTATGATACCTTATAAATATGTCACATATCACATTTATTTTAGTGTCACTAGTGGTATATATTACTATACCGTCAGTGCTCAAACACTCACCTCATCATCATCCATTATATGCCGCTTTGCAAATTCGTACATTTCTGTCTGAAGTGTGGTTATGTTATAATATCGAACTGCTTCCTATCAGAACAAAATGTCCAGATTATTTTTTAGGGCAATAAGACATTGTGAACTTATTTCTGAATTTCTCCCAAGGTGTCAGACATCACCTGTGACTCTTCCAGCAAAGCCAGTTCCAAACTCAGCACTATTCTGGATTAATTTCAAGATTGCCCCATGTTTGTGAAAGGAAGATGGAAGTAATGAATGAACAAATATGCTAAGCAGAATATATAATATTTTCTGTGAATCCTTCAAATTGTGTCATCCTTTTGAATCTTCTTGCTGTCTTAAAAATTGGCCAGTTTGAAACTAAATGAATGAGATCCCAAAGTAAGCAGCTATAGGGTCAGAACATACCTGGCCTTAGTGTATGTGTTCATGAAGAGACACAAAGTGAGTGGTCAGTGCGCTTGACGAAGCCCAGGTCTCCTTCCACATCATTCTATATAAAAAAGAAAAGGAGTACTAGTGGCACCTTAGAGACTAACCAATTTATCTGAGCATAAGCTTTTGTGAGCTACAGCTCACTTCATCGGATGCATTCAGTGGAAAATACAGTGAGGAGATTTATATACACACAGAACAAGAAAAAATGGGTGTTATCATACACACTGTAAGGAGAGTGATCACTTAAGATGAGCTATTACCAGCGGGGGGGGGGGTGAGGGGGGAGAAGAAAACCTTTTGTAGTGATAAGCAAGGTGGGCCACACTGTTCCTCAGACATTCTTGTTAACTGCTGGAAATGGCCCACCTTGATTATCACTACAAAAGGTTTTCTTCTCCCCCCCCCTCCCCGGGGTATGATAACACCCATTTTTTCTTGTTCTGTGTGTATATAAATCTCCTCACTGTATTTTCCACTGAATGCATCCGATGAAGTGAGCTGTAGCTCACGAAAGCTTATGCTCAAATAAATTGGTTAGTCTCTAAGGTGCCACAAGTCCTCCTTTTCTTTTTGTGAATACAGACTAACACGGCTGTTACTCTGAAACTTATCATTCTATGGAGTTGGCCAACCATGGAGAGAGATGCATGCTGACAGTGGCTCTGGAACACTTTTTATAGTTGGCGTACCAAAAGCCAGCTAATGAAGCTGCAAACCATGTGTGTTCAAAAGCAACTTGAAAAAGCGCAATTCCTGCTCATACCACATGGGTGCAGCACAGCTCTGGGATTCTCAAGAATCACAAAATAATAGTAGCTTTGTTCTGACAGCACCAGCAAACTTTTCACAGTGAAACCTGGGGGTGCTGCAGCACCTGCCACACCCCTAGTTCTCACGCCTCTGCATGCTGAGGTATAGTGCACTGCCCTCTACTCAGAGTGGTGGCTGAACATCAAAATCTATCTTATAGTAAACAGTTGCTATGTTTGGTGGTATTACCAGCATCTGCAATGTTTGTTCCATATAACTCTTTCAGGCAGGGTAACAGGAGAAAGGATTCCTCCTCCTTCACAAGGGTGTCCAAAGCATAGCATAAGGTCAAAATGCAGCCCCAGGCCAACTTAACCCTGTGCAACTCCTAGGGGAATGCAAAGCAGGTCAACTGTGGGATTTTCTGCTGGGCAATTCAAACAAAAAGCAATTTCTAATAATTTTTGGAGGATCAAAGTACAAGCACAATGTAGTGGTATACATTTAAAATAGTACATAAACATAGAGGTGCTGCAGGATTTGAGCTCCTGGAAAGCAGTCAATGAATCCTACAGTCTCAAAGTATGGGTGTCTGTGCTTCTTTCTCTGCATTGCACATCCTAAATGCATTTGCAGGTGGCTAATTTCTTAGAAATTTTACTTTTATGGCCATTACATAAGTCACTCCCTATGGATCTCGCAGCCATGTTGAAGACCAATGCTGAAGTTCACGTCTACTTTGAAACGGGACTACATAAAAATGGCACCTTCTCACTCACCAGATCTGTTCCCTGTGTGAGCTGAGACTCATATTTGCTGACTGTAGAGACAATGAGATTTTACTGCATTTTGCTCCTGTTAGCCCTGCAAAGCCAGCACAGTTCAGGGCTTGTCTTAACTACAAAGTTAAGTCGAGGAATAACTCGCGTGTTGTTCCAACTCAAGTCTCATCCACACACAAAACCCTTAAACTCGAGTGGTCATGCTTTTAACTTGAGTTTGTTGACCTGAGAGGAGATATAAGCTCAAAGTTCAAGTGAACACAACTTGTCAGCTGCTAACATGATCACTCTACAGTGTGGATAAAGGCGAGTGTCATTTGAATACCGCTTTTCCTCCAATGCCTTCCCACAATTCTCCCCTATGTGCCCAGAAAGGACAGACAAATTCTCCTACAATTCACGGAGCGGTTCAGGTTATTGCAGTACTAAGAATCATATGACATGCACCTAGACGTCTAAGTGACACACATGAATGAGAGCAGCACCAGTGTGGATGCAGCACCTTGAGTGTTGTTTCAGTGTGGCTGCTCTCACTCCAACTAGACTAACCCAAAGTAACTGCAATGAAGACAGACCCTAAGTGAGTGTGAGCCAGATTCTATTCTGGATCATGCATCATCAACAGAAATGTTAACTGAATTCCAGTCAGTTATACATATGCAAACCCACTGAAACTGATGTGGTTGTGCACGTGTCACTAATGATGTATTTTGCATGCAGAACCATTGTACTGGCAAGAAGGCACAAGAAAGAACCAAGCTTCATTCTTGGTTCCCAGGCTGAGTTTGCAGAGCAAACAGTTTACAAGTAAAAAAAAACAACAACAAAGTTTTTTACTTGTAAATTGGGAACATTGGATCTGGAAGTTAAGCTGAAGCTAACAACACAGAGCCCCATTATACCATTTTTACAGAGTCACTTTTCAAAGTATTGCTGCACTTTATCTTGGTTCCTTGCTAAACTGAATTATAACATGGCTTGGCTGCCCTGTTTGGAGGAAAGCCACGTTAAAAGGTTTTTCAGAAGGCATTCTAGGTTAGGTGGCTAGGTGTAATACACCATAGGTATATCCCAGCCACCCTGGCTATAAAACTGCTTTCTGAAAAACCTTTTTAATGTGGTTGTTCCTGTCCACAGCAACCAGACAAATGTGTTCTGAAATGGTTTGTGGAAAATGGTGTAAATATGGTTATTAAATATAGCTACATTCCAGTGCTTACAGAACTTAGAAGAAAAACAGGCAGCCTTCATGACCTGGGAGTGATCTGTTGACAAGCAGTAAGTGACCAACAAGAGTCCCAATGCTGTTGTGGTGCCACTTAGTTTGGAAGTCTCCAGATCTTCAGTGACTGGTTAGGTAGCCCTCGCAGGCAGATAAAATAAACAAGTGTAGATAAGGTGGTAAAGAGGCATGTTTGATATCTCAGTGAATTAATGTGTACCTCACTATACTCCAGCAGAGAGGGAAGAATTGTAAAATCCCTTCTCTACACAATATACAGATATTTTTACAACTCTCTGATTCTAGTAAGTGAATTGTGTTCGACACAAAAACCTCTAAACAATCCTTCTCTGCCATAACTTCCACTCTGTTGGATTCTGGGGTAACATTAGGAGACATCTTGCAAGCAATTTACCCACTCAACTTACTGGTCTGGGCTGGAAATCTTCCTCTGTGAGTCCCCATTTGTCTTTATGGTATTGATAATAGACCATGTTCTGTTTCATCACTTCATCTTTCTGGTCGAAGAGCATGTAGCTAGCAACACAAGGGGCTGCATTCTTCATGTCATTCACTGAATTAATAAAACAAGCATAAGCCTGCAGAGAAGGTAAATGAGCAACAGCCCACATTTCCCTTTATTATCCAAACTCAGGAAATTCAGGTGACGACAGGTGCAGTATTTCTCCCAAATCTTCCTTCTCAACTGTATAAAATAAACAACCCCCCATAAAGGACTTAAAACACAAAAACAAAAAAATCCCCATCCTGGCTGACTCTGAAAAGCTTTCACAGAACATTACCTGGCTACAACTTTGCCCAGTAACAGGATGAATGATGTGTACCACTCAGAGGTTATTTCATGAGATGACAATATGCAAGGCATGCTCCAAAGAGCCCACTTCTTAACTCTGGAGATTGTTTGAAAGATTTACAATTCTCTCACCATAAAAATACAAGAGATAATCTTAAATCAAAAGTCTATGATCAACACAGAAAAAACTTTGCCATGATTTGATTTTTATTTTTTAATATTATATAACAACCAAAAACTCTTCCCTGCATTCCAACAACCAGGGCAGTATTGACCCAGTTTGGTCATCTTCCCCATTTTGTGGCATTCTTTATGGTAAAACTGAGTTAAGAGGGTGAGGGAAGAGGAAACAGGAAGGTGGATAATCAAATGGCAAAAGACCTCAACTCAAGCTGAATTTTACCCTCTGATGGGAGTCAGCAGAAGCTAAGCATGCATCCAAAGGCAGAATTTGGCTCTTAAAATGCAGGTCTTTGCCTAAAAAGAGACTGTAAAATTCTCAGTGATCTTCTTACTAAATGTGTTCCTTCTAACTACCAGCCCTTCAACCTCAATGTGGTCTTGGAAAGTCAAGCCAGGCTCTTTCCTTTTGTCATGGGGTGCGTAGCCCATGCAGATAAGGAATAGATTAATGTGGGCCTGCGAAGCCAATTATACTACCTGTTTGCACCCAGAGGATCGGCCTGTCTTAATTAAAGCTGAAGCTCAGCTGGGGAAGGAGCTGGTCACGGTGATTATAAAGAGTGGAAGCATATCTTAAAAGGAGACTTTCTTGGTGTTAGAGAATGGAGAGACCAGCAAGGTCACAGGTGAAGGCCAAGGGAAGAGTTAGCCCAGGGGATCCTCTCCTGAGTAGCAAAGTCTAGCAAGAGGCCAGGAAACATACAGAGCAGCCATCGGGCTGGCACAAGCTCTGGTGAAGAGGTCTGATAATAAGGCAGGATCTGGACTTCCACACAGAGAGCCCTACAAGGTATCCCACTGAGGAACAAAGAGGGATGGAAAGTCACACCTGAAGAGGGCAGAAGGCGATTTAAGTTGGTACTTTTAGCTTGGGGATTTTGTTGTGGGATTCTGGGGTGGGAGAAAGAGTCCTGCAAGTCCTGGTCCTGAGAGAAGGGTAAACCTGGAGAAGCCTGCTGACAGGCTATGGTAAGAAGAAGTCTAATGAGGCAGCATGAAAGGAATTGGATAGAGCAGACCTTGGCTGCTGGTTACAGGGTCCCTGGAATGAAACTCACAGTAGTGGGAAGGCCTGGGTTCCTCTACCAGCTCCTGGGGAGGATAGTGACAGGCACCTGACAACCCCAAGAAAAGGGTGGTGAGGACTACCAGGGCCCACTGGGGCCAAAGCCCTTTTGTAAGGATGCGGAACTTTTTCCATTGGACTTTGTTACTCTGGAAATGGTGAAACTAAAGCATGACCTGGCTGGAGGGCTGAGTCACAAGAAGAGGCAGACTACTACAAGGCCAGAGTGGCTGTCGGCAATGAGCACAAGAGGAGGAGTCTGCTGTGCCATATCCAGCCATGAGTGGGTGCACAGTATGTCAACCCTTCTACACCTTTTCACATATCCACAGCAATAAAAGTTCAGCTGGTCAAATTAGGATTTTGTTACACCTGCCTTCAGAGGGCTGCAAAGGTGTAATTGACTGGAAATTAGTAAACAATTTTCTGAACAAAGAACAGAACCTAGCTCAGTCTCTCAGCTGCATTGTCTCTGCAGAGTTGGCAGAAATTTAAAAAAAAAAAAAAAAGGCAAGGAAAATTCTTCTAGTCACTGAGTCAGCAGATGTGATTCTGAATACATGCAAGGAGAACATCTGCTGAGAAAGCAGGGGCAATGTTTACAAAATCACTTTTCAGAATACAACTGCACTTTAATAATTGAGGAGTATTCACAGAGTCATCCAAAGACAAATGAAAAAATATCCATCATAGAAAGTGTGCAGGGAAGCTTCCATACACAATTGCGGCCATATCAGCAGTTCCCATACCAAGTACACCATATGAATACCTCATTTACCCAAATGCCTTTATAAGAACTATCATTCCTGATACACAGTTTTCAATAATAGGTTTCCTCTTTATGCATGTCCCCAGTTCTAGTCAGATGAATGAGGTCCTACTATGAAAAGAAAAATGTATGGAACAGTTTACAGTCCCTTGTGATGGAAAAAATACTACTTGTATAATTAATTTTCAATGAAAAAAGAAAAGGAGTACTTTTGATGCACTGCCTCTAGGTCATAATTTCTCTTCTTCCTAGCTGTAATAGTTGGAAGTCCCTATATAACAAAAAAAGCTCTCTTGTCTTGGTAAAACAGCACATCTCTCTATTTAAAAAGGCTTTGCGAGCCACAGTGTGGGACTGAAGGCGTGTCTGTACTGTATAACTACAATAATCTAGCTGTACCAAGGCAAATGCCTACTGTACATGCGCTGCACCTGTGTAAATAATAGACTGCACTGAGGCAGTTTAACCCAGAATGCACCAATGCCAGCCACTGTACATTAGAGAAGCTTGTCTACAATAGGGGGAGAGGAAAGAAAGGATAGTGAAGTGGTTGGGACAGTGGCTTGACTACTCAGAAGACCTGAGCTCAACTCCCGCTTCCCCATACACTGCCCATACTACCTTGGGAAAGTCGCTTGGTGTCTCTGTGACTCAGTTCCCTATCTGTAAAATAAGGATAACACTATTTCCCCACCTCACAGGGGTACTGAGAATAAATACATTAATGATTGTGAGCTGTTTACGCACATCAGTAATGAGGGCCATATAAGTACCTAAGATAGATTGGTACAGAAGTCCGCAGTGTAGATAAGTGCTGAGAAGGACCAGTAGATTGTACCAACAGGAGTCAAAGGGCTTGTCTACACTGGCACTTTACAGCACTGCAACGTTCTTGCTCAGGGGGGTGAACCCCCTACCCAAGCGCAGCGCGTTTCAGCACTATAAAGCACCCGTGTAGACTGTGCTGGGAGCCGCTGGGAGCTCGTCAAGGTGGATTTTTTACTTTCTCCCAGCGCTCTGCTGCAGCCACACAAGTCACATTACAGCGCGGTCACAGCAGTACTTTAGTGTTGCCAGTGTAGACTAGCCCAAAGGACTGCAGCAGAATGTGACAAATCAAGTCATGCTTATTCTGTAATTGTCTAAGATGCAAGTCTTCATTTCTCTAATAGAAACCTGATTAGAGACCATTAACAGCCAAGCACCTCCTACAATTTCTGTCACTTCAGTGGGAGTGGAACGGGCTCCGCACTTGACAGGATCAGGCCATAAAATGCTTTTCTCCCAAATCAATTTCATATAGGGGCTACTCACCTCTCCTCACATAGGTTTGTCTCGCATAGATATCAATGGCACTTACACATGCCCGGGGAGAAAGAGGAGACTAGAGGTCTCTGACTTTTAGGTTCAAAATAGATTAATTGCAATTTCAAGATGCTATAAATAAAATATTCTAAACCATTGTCACTGGAGGAGGCTTGCCAGTACCATCCCAAGCTTATTTTTTAAAAAGACCCAAAACACTACTTACATTTATAATAGGCAAACTGTAAGTAATGGTACATGGTTGCCACAAACTTCTCTACAACAAAGCCTCCTATGATCGGAGTCAGGCTACTTTCACACTGCAGTTTGCATTCAAGGACTTCAGTGTAGTGATCTAAAGGAAAACAGAGATGAACACAGTTAGCTGTTTCAGAAGCACTCCTGCAGCCAGCTCCCCTATACATCATGGCTCCATATCACTCCCCTGGGTCCTGGACACCAAGATCCTGATGTTCAGAGATCCTGAGCCCTCACAATTCCAGCTGAAGTCAATGAGAAGTGTTTGTGCTCAGCACTTCTGGAATGCAGGCCCCAATGACTTCAGACCAAAAGCTTCAGTCAAAGTAAACAGCTATGTTATGTTTTACAGACACATACAGGCAGCCTGTGTTGACACATTTTATATACAATGATATTTCTATCTATTAAATTATTGAAATGGAGTACTGCTGTATTTCAACCTGTGACCTTAATAGTGATTTTTTAAAGTAGTTGATACCTTTGCAGTCTTATTTAATTGTTTTGTCACAAAATAAAAGCTGATACTACTGGATATTGTCATGCCAAGGAGAAAGGTAAAAGGTATTCCAAAACAACCTTACAGTTTGTAGCTTTTTGCCTTTCTCCGGTATTTGGTCTCAAGAAAATAGATGCAAATATGGTAACTTATTCACAGAACATCTTTCATCCTATAAGATCCTAAATTCAAGTTCACAAACTCAATTACAAACCACTCAACAGCTCAAAACAGGTTAGAACCAGAAGTAATAAATAATTTTGAGATATACTTCTTACAGAGCCTTTTAAAGGATCTCAAAGTCCCAAACATTAATAACTCTTTAAAACTCAACACCCAGGTAAAGTAGATATTGGCACTTCAGTTCCTTTGTCAGCAAAATGGAAGTGACAGGTAATACAGTGAGTCAATGACAGACGGTAAAAGATCAAGAACTTGGCCCCTCAGTTCCTTTTCTCTATCCGCTAAGCCCCCTTTCCTCCCAGAAGTGAAGACTACTGTATCCATTGAAAATGCAGGATGAACATGGGAAGGCAGAATGTAATTACCCACATCAGAAATTGATTAGGACATCAGGGCTTATCACTCCTACTTTCACAAGAGATATGGTATCTCTGAACGCAGTGGTTAGCAATTTGGTGTTATGTCTTATCTAAACGACTTGAGGCAATCAGCAAATTGATTTCTGGGGCGCATATCTGTATACAACATATCTGTATGCACATTCATGCATCCGATGAAGTGAGCTGTAGCTCACGAAAGCTTATGCTCAAATAAATTTGTTAGTCTCTAAGGTGTCACTAGTCCTCCTTTTCTTTTTGTATACAGCTATTATCCATAATTCAGGACCCCCCAATATAAAAGTGTTACTAATAAAATTAGGAACCCACTTCCCCATACTTGTTGTCAATTATAATTCAATTAAAAACGTTATCTTCACTGGTGGTGCTGAGACATTTCAGGATACAAGGTCAAGCTAGCAATCCTTTTGGCAATTTAGAAATTCTGCTGCATTTCTAGTGCTGTTACCAGACACCCACCTTTAAAAAGAAGCATGTCTGCAACCACTTTACTGAGGTTCACATAGCTCTGGGGATGGTATTTATTGCCATTGTTACTGAGAAGCAAGGGAAACTTACATATGCCATTTTGATAACACAAAAACTGTGGCTTTTCTAATTATATCCTGTGAGATGCAGCATTTAAATTTTTTTTCAAGTTATATGAGGAAAAATATTCCTCCTCAATGAACAGTCCATATCTCTACTGCAGAGCATGCAACAGAGATTCACAATACAAACTGGAGAGGAGAAATTTTCCAGGTCAAATGTTGAGGCTGTGATGTTGTCTAGCAGGTTTCCAGCTCAAATCAGAGCTAAAGGTCAATTCACTTGTGTTAGCTGAGTTGAAAGGGAATGTTAATGGCATTGTCTTCACTCATCTATAAGTGGTTGATTGCAATCGCATTACATTATGTATGTCCCTGTAATTAAATAACCCCAGATTAAAGTGTATGTATATTCAGGTGTTAGAACTTCGTGAATGCTAATAAATGATAAACACTTGTATTGTTTCATTTATCTATCCCTATTATAATGTAATGGCAGGCAACTGCATTATGTATATCACTGTATGGCTTTGTCTATACTTAAAACTTTTGTCAATCAGGGGTGGGAAAAATACACACCCTGACCAACATAAATTCCACTTACAAAAGTGGTGCTGTGGACAGCGCTATCCTGCCAACATAGCGAATGCCACTTGTTGGGGTGGTTTAATTAAAGAGCGGCTACATGGGAGACCTTACAGTGGCATAGCTGTAGCGGTACAGCTGTGCTGCTGAAAGGTCCGTAGTACAGACACAACCTGACTAAATTACTTGTGAATGTCAGGAAACAGAATGTTGACTTGAACACAATGACCCTTGCTTTGAATAATGGAAATTCAATCTGCAATTGCTACTCATCAAAACCCACTTGGGTGAGGACACTGTTCAGGTGGTCTTCTGTGAGCAGAATCTATAAATACTGGTTAAAGGGAATGATACTGCATCTCTGGACTGATGGATTCTGACAGGGTGGAATACTGAGTGACTAGACAGAGATCCCCAAAGTTATTTTGGGTAACCCTGAGAAACTTATAGAAAATTAGCAGATTACTACTTCTCTGCTATCACCTTGAACTTACAAACTTGGACTCACCTATAATGTATTTTATCTGCTTTAACCTCTCAATAATTCTAATTTCTTTTCCTTAGCTAATACATCTTTAGCTGGTTTACTAGAGAAATTAGCTGTCGGTGTTGTCTTTGGTGTGAGATCCAGAGTATCCACTGACCTGGGGTAAGTGACCAACCCCTTGGAGTTAGAAGTAACCAAAATTGAGGTGACTTTTTTTCATTTCAACACAAAGTCTAGTTTGCCTGGGTGGTAAGGGGACTGTCTGTGGTTCCATGGTAAAACTAATATAGTGATCCAGGAGTGCACATTTGTTACCGGCTTGGTGAAATCTAATGATAGAATATACTACCAGTTTGAGGTGTCTGCCCTGTTTCTTGACAGTCTGACCTGAGACTGGCACTCTGAGTTGTAAGCCATACCAGGCAGGGTGACAGAGGCTCAACAGCAAACAAAGTTACTGGTGAGAAATGGGTCTGGATTAATACTGCTAATTAAACAGAGAAATTCCTACCATTTCCTAGAAGGCTACTCAGATATTTAGAAACATCAACACATTTCACTTTAATATTTTTCTCTATATTAACACCCTCCATTATGGATTTCCTATAGTACCTATGTTTTCCAAGGACAAGATAGCCTATTGATGAGGCCAACTATAACTCTTCTTTAACATAGGCCACAATCTAGCATTGATGAGGCATCATGTTGTGTATGTCACCATGCAGAACAAGGAGCATGAAAAGCAACACCAACGACACTCATTTAGAAACTAAAATACGTATTCAAGACTCCTTGTCCGAGAGCAGGGGTGAACAAACTATGGCCCGCGGGCCAGATCCGGTCCGCCAGCTCCTGCTCCAGTGCTCCAACCGGGGAGCAGGGTCGGGGCTGCTCCACATGGCTCCTGGAAGCAGCGGCATGGCCCCCCTCTGGCTCCTATGCCTAGGAGCAGCCAGGGGGCTCTGCTCTGCATGCTGCCCCTCCCCCAAGTGCTGCCCCTGCAGCTCCCACTGGCTGGGAACCATGGCCAATGGGAGCTGCAGGGGCAGTGTTTGTGGACGGAGCAGTGTGCAGAGCTGCCTGGCCATACCTCTGCGTAGGAGCCGGAGAAGGGACATGCCGCTGCTTCCGGGAGCCGCTTGAGGTAAGTGCCACCTGGAGCCTGCACCTCTGAGCCTCCCCCCTGCCCCAGCCCTGATCCCCTCCTGCCCTCCAAACCCCTCGATCCAAGGCCAGAGCACCCTCCTGCACCCGAAACCCCTCATCCCCAGCCTCACCCCAGAGCCCGCACCCCCAGCCAGAGCCTGCACCCCTTCCTGCACTCCACCCGCCCCTGCCCTGTCCCTGCACTCTGAACACCTCATTTCTGGCCCCACCACGGAGCCCACACCCCCAGCCACAGCCCTCACCCCCTCCTGCACCCGAACCCCAATTTTGTGAGTATTCATGGCCTGCCATACAATTTCTATTCCCAGATGTGGCCCTTGGGCCAAAAAGTTTGCCCACCCCTGTCCTAGAACTAAGGTGCTGCCGAACACGAACCTGCTATTGAAAGATAAAAGTCTTTAAAATCTTTGATCTCCCGGGAGCCTTCACAGGCTGCAAGGCAGTCTTCATAGGCTTTGAAGAAATCAGGAAGTGCCAGCTCCATATCGGAGATGGAGGTCCTCCAGTTATCCCCATTGTATGCCCTCACAGCCCTGACAAAGAGAGTCTGAAAAACAAGCAGGAGTGAGAAGTAGCAGTTTTTAACCTGTGGAAAAAGTAGTTGCACTATGGGCTCCAGTGAATAAAAAGAAAATGTTGAATTATGGGGATTCAAATACAATGAATGCCACTTATTTCTCAATCTTAATACAATCTCATTTATCCAAGTAACACGTGGGAATAAGTAAGTAAATGTAGATAATCAAGAGAGATTTCAAGGTATTTACTAGAGTGAGGGACATGATCCTATTTCAGATAGCTGATAGATAAGTTTGTGGAAGAGAGATTTCAGTGTGACCCTGATGTTAGAATACAGATCTTTAAGCCTGTTTGTAAAGGCCTATACTTTAAGAATTTAGGTATATGTTTATTATTTAGCTAGTTATAGAGGTATAAAATAGAGAATTTGTGTAAGGGCCTTTTTTTACTGTGACAGTTTGAGGCCCCGTTTTTAGACCCCGTTAGGCTCATGCCTTTGGCCAAGCAGCAGAGGCAGCCATAAGCTGGGAAGTGTATAGTTACATTTTTACATTTTAAACTAGTTATATTGAAATAAGGCAATCTGGGGTTGTTAGGAAGGTGATTTGATTTATTACCTTTAGAGAAAGGGAAGAGCCTAGAAGATGTAAAAGGAAATTTAGTTTGATAGTTTTTTTATTTGGTAAGAACTTACTTATTAATAGACACAGCTGGGAAACCCTATGTCTTTATAGATGTAGTTGTGAAATTTTTACTTTTGTATTGTTTTGTTATTATAGTTTTTACTTTTCTATGTTTATAGTTTTTCTCTGGTTTTGTGATTGTTTTTGTTTGCTGTATAATTAATTTTGCTGGGTGTAAACTAATTAAGGTGGTGGGATATAATTGGTTAGCTAATTATGTTACAATATGTTAGGATTGGTTAGGTAAATTCAGTAGAATGATTGGTTAAGGTATAGCTAAGAATATTACTATATAAATTAGGGGCAAACAGGAAGTAAATTGGGATTTGAAAATAAAGAAAAAGGAACTTGGATTTAAGCTTGCTGGAAGTTTACCCCAATAAACATTGAATTATTTGCACCTTTGGACTTCGGGTATTGTTGCTTTTTGTTTAAGTGAGAAGGACCAGGGAAGTGGGAGAATGAAGGTATAAGTTCTCTAACACCTGAGCCACAATCAAATTTTAAAAATATATTTTTTCAGCAGGGTCCAAATGACCTAACGAGAGTTCTAGGATATGTCTACAGTGCAAAGAAAAACCTGTGTCATTGTGTCTCAGAGCCCAGGTCAACTGACTCCTACTTGCAGGGCTCAGACGGCAGGGGTAAAAACACCAATATGGAGTTCCTACTTGGGCTGGAACTTGGACTCCGAAACCTGGCAAGGGGGGGGGAGGGTCTTGGAGCCTCAGGTTCAGCCCAAGCTAGACCATCTACACCGCTGTTTTTAGCCCCACAACCCATGCCCAAATCAATTGACCTGCGCTTTGAGACTCGGTGCTGCAGGTTTTCTTTGCAACATAGATATATTTCCTAATTGTTTTAGGCCCTGATCCTGCACTTACACACCTGAATAACTTTGCATACTTGCCTAGTCCTGTTGAGTTCACTACTCACATGCACAAAATTAAATGGTGGTTAAATCTTAGCAGGATCTGGCCCTCAGTTTGCACACTATTATATAAAGGCTGCTTTGACTTCATGGTTTACTATAAGAGAGTTGGATGACACTCCTACGGGCATAAAGTTCCAGGTCAAAAGGAGCAAGCTTTCAAATCAATGTACTAGTGTTGTAGCTACATTAACTGTAATGAGGTGAGGGTACGAGACAGCATGCTTGAGATAAGTTATAAAAAGGGATTTGACAGAGGAGAAAGGAGATTTTTGGCAGATGAAAAAAAGGAGACTGCCCCAGACACAAAGGGTAATATAACAGGATGTGAGGAACAGAAAGTAGCAAACGGGTGACTGGGAAGATGAGAGGGAATGGGATGGAAAATAGAGATAGAGTTCAGAGCAAGATTATATAGAAGAACGAGAACCTTGAATCTAATGCAATGAGAGAGAAAGTCAATGGAGGTATTCAAGGAGAGCAGACTGCAGGTAGAGAACTTACTTCATATGGCTTTGTCTCCAAGTCTTTAATATGCTCCTCGGCATCAGGCATGCTCTTGTAATAAGCCATATTCCTCTGCATCATCTCGTCATTTGGGTGCTTCAGCAGAAATGTATGAGCTGCTGCAATGGCTTTTGGAAAGTTATTAGCCTAAACAGGAAGAACAACACACAACAAGCTGCTTTTTTTTAAGTTATTTGATTTTTGCCAGCAAACTTTCCTTCCATCTCATTGTACATATATTTATTTCCACTTTGCAGAATCGATGAATGACCCCTGGAGGCTTTTCACTCTGCATGCAAAGCAGTACAACTCCAGAATCAGCAAGTTCATATAACTGACTGGCTACGAGAACCAGAAGGTAGATTTAGTGGTAAATACCGAACAAAAAGATGTATTTATTTAAATAAAGAGAACCAACTTCAACTCTGAAGCAGAATAACACACACATTAAACATTTTCTTTGCAGGTCTGAAGAGGAATTGTACCCAATGTTCTTTTTCAACAAAACTGTGTGGTGTGGAGTTACACTATTAAAAAAAAAAAAAAGTGACTGATTCCTGGCATAAACTGGAGGAAAAAAATGTGCATTTACCATGTGTATTTACCATGAATTCACACCCTAAGTGTTGCAAGGCACTAGAACATGCCATATTGCTCAATTACAATAAATCACTCCACTGTTTGACTGCTTAAAAGCCACGTACTCCAGATCATTAGATTTCTGGATGCTATTTTGTAATTCAAGTATTACATTTGCTCTGGTGTCTTACTTTTTATTTCTTAAACACCGATAATCTGCTCTACAATCTACTGTACAAAACCCAGAAAAAAAAACACTGTCTATGAGCTAAGGAGCTCACAATCTAAATAAACTGCAGTAAGGTGCTACATTGTAGAACATGAAGAATTTAATCAGACACCCACTATGCAGAGAACAAAAGATAATGGTGGGAAAGGAGGGCAATTAGTGAGGCCACAGCTCCAGTGGGTCTGCTCTGCTACTCGAAAGCATTGCCAAGCATCAGCAGAGTAAAGGTGACATGATTCTGGTGAGTTTTACTGCTACCAACACAGTTCTGAACTGTTCATTCTGTCTTAATGGTTACTACCTATTGTTACAAGTAGCAGCTATGATTATTATAAATCAAAGAGACCGGCAATTTAAAAAAAAAATGTTTTCTCCCAATTCATATAACGGTCAATGCATAACATTAACAGTTTCCTTTGCATAGGGCTTAATCCTGCACCACGTTTGTGCATAAATGGATGCTGAATTGGGCTCAGTCTGCCAGCTTCCTTGGCTGTTTGTGTAATCATTCACACAGCAACAGGGGACAGAAAAATATTAAAAAACAAACAAAAAAAAGCACCTAGGAAAATCCTGTTATAAACCCACAACAATTGGGTAGTGGACTGATAGGCCAATACACTACCTGGTCATTTCTTTAATTGACCAGATTTCAAACTGACATTGTCCCTTTGAGCCACATCAGAGATATTTAGCTGGAAATGGCCCACCTTGATTATCACTACAAAAGGTCCCCCCCCCCCACCCACCGCCCGCCCAGCTGGTAATAGCTCACCTTACCTGATCACTCATTACAGTCCGATGAAGTGAGCTGTAGCTCACGAAAGCTTATGCTCAAAAAAATTGGTTAGTCGCTAAGGTACTGCAAGTACTCTTTTTCTTTTTGTGGATACAGACTAACACGGCTGCTACTCTGAAACCTCTCGTTACAGTGTGTATGGTAACACCCATTGGTTCATGTTCTCTGTGTATATAAAATCTCCCCACTGTATTTTCTACTGCATGCATCCGATGAAGTGAGCTGTAGCTCATGAAAGCTTATGCTCAAATAAATGTGTTAGTCTCTAAAGTGCCACAAGTACTCCTTTTCTTTTAGCAAAATATGCATTTGGTACCTAGAACAATTTACATGCCAAGTTAGCTGGAGGCGGGGTGCGGGAGAGGGAATCATCTCACATTTCTGGAAGTGCTAAACCATTTTCTCCCCATCCCATGCTATGATAAGCTAAGATCCTGGCCAACACAATCCAGTGGGCTCTTCACAATGTCTGAAGTAGCTTATGCAAATATACTTATGAAAAAAAACCCCAAAACAAACATGCACAAAACCCCAACATTTTTGCTTATAGGAAGAAAAATTTCATTCCTACTGACTAAAACAAGAGGAGAAAGGGCACAAAATTGCCAGTCCCACCGTTAAGTATATCCTGGCTGCTGTGAAGCTATAACTGTCAAGGAGCTGGAATGTTGCCAGTAGCATTTATTAGCCTTCTCCACATATTATATGTGTAATCAGGCCAGACATAGCAAAGGCCAAGAATAAACTCAGCTGCACTTTCGTCAAATGTCCAGTTCTGCTTTGTTTCTTGTGCTTTACTCTTCAAACCTGTTTGGTGGTTAGGCTGATCTTTATTTCTCTTTTGCTTAGTCCATGATTTATTTGTAATCTCAGTGTGCTTCATTTAAAAATAAAGTTATATACATATTGAAGAAAGTAAACTCAGCAGAAATGAGAAAGACAAACCTGACCCTTCAAAGGAGCAAATGCGGGAATAAGAATATCTGCTCCCAGGAGCTGAGACGTGGCAAAGTTTCTTTTCTACACTCACATGAATAAATACTAAGTCACCTGAAAAATTTCATCCAAAGTTTCCCGTCAGTGGTGTTATGGAGAAAATAAATGACAAACATTCCTTCCTTAACAATCAGTCAAGAAATGGCTTGTGGGGCCTTCAGTGATCTTTAGCTGCAAGATGCCTAGAATGTAGAAGCCACGTAAAGCTCTTAAAGCTGATGATTGAATCAAATTGCAAATGATAATATATTCTGCAAATGATCTCTCATATACTTTTGCTGTTGTTTGAGTTAAGGCACTGACGTTCTCTAGGAATTTACTGAATACTTTATGCATAAACATTTTATGAATCAGGCATGCTTGCTATCGTGATCAAAAGCACTTTGTAAAGACTGCATGCTCTGTAAAGGGAATGGGTGGTGAAGACAGGTTGGGGGGACAGGTGGATAAATTAGGCCTGGTATGGTCAGGTATATATTGGTTTGGGAATTAGGAGTGTGAATATGAGTTGAGGGAAGAAGAAAAGGAGTACTTGTGGCACCTTAGAGACTAACAAATTTATCTGAGCATAAGCTTTCGTGAACTACAGCTCAGTTCACTCCCCATTCATTTTTAAAGAAATGTATTTGGTACCTCATGTCCTGCAACTTGTATCTAATAAGGAGTTACTACGTTACTTCTCTACACTTGAATTTCTGTTTGTTTGTATTAGGTATGAATTTAAATCAACCTAGTTATGTCGAAATAGCTCCCCACCCCTGCATGAACACTCTTATTCTGACATAAGCGTTTTGTTTTTTTCCAGTTTATTTCATGACAATTCGGAAGATTTCTGGTTTAGGTTGTTACTTCACAAGGGGTTTAGCTTATACTAGAAGAAGCCATTCTTATAATGGAATAAGAGTCTGCACACAGGGTGTTATGCTGGTGTAAATGGTAGAAATTTCCCATGCAGACGAATCCTAAAAAGCACTTTATCAGATAAAGAATATGCTTTCAAGCAGCAACCACCAAAAAAAAAAAAAAAAAAAAAAATCATATCATGCACTACAAGTGATCCTCCTGAATAAAACATTATAGGGCAGGGGTTCTCAAACTGGGGGTCGGGACCCCTCAGGGGGTTGCGAGCTGTCAATCTCCACCCCAAACCCCGCTTTGCCTCCAGCATTTATAATGGTGTTAAATATATAAAAAAGTGTTTTTAATTCATAAGGGGGGGTCGCACTCAGAGACTTGCTATGTGAAAGGGGTCACCACTAAAAAAGTTTGAGAGCCACTGTTATAGGGTGATGTCTCTGAAAAATAAGCTCCTCTTTTTGATATTGTTGTCCTATTTCCTTGAAATAGGAAACGTGAAATAGCCGCATCTTGCCCAGCACAGGACAGAATGTGAGCATCCTGGCTCTTGCTGTATTTGGCCAAGGGAATGAGAACTTGGAAATCCACTCCCCTGCCCTCACCCCTCTCCTCCCTTGGGCCCTGCAGCCAGGCCTGGGTCTGCTGTGCTGCCCAGCTTGGGGTGAAGAGTGACGGGGACAGGGATGCCCAAGGGGGTGGGAAATCAAAAATTCTGCAAGAAAAAATAAAATTCTGCGAGGAACATGAATTTTGCACAAATTCTGCATTGCGCAGTGGTGCAGAATTCCAGCAGGAGTAAGGCAGTTGGTGAGAGAAGACCTGAGTGGTGTAATGCAGGTGGGGTGATTTGGGGGAAGACTGAGAAAATATGGGGTTGTGATGAGAGCTGCATTATATTATAGGGGCATGAGATGGGAGCATATGGGAGTAGCGGGCTACAGGATTTGAGGGTGAGATGGCACAGGGAAGTCAGAGAGTGGGGACAAGGCATAGGCTGGCCTGGGGGAGCCAGTAGGGAGATAACATGTAGGTAAGGCAGTGAGAAATGGAGCAGGATAACCTGTGGGAGAAGAGAATTGTGGGGACTGGGGTGGGATAATCTGAAATGGTGTGGGGAAGGGGGGAAATGTATGAGAGAGTAGACTAGGTTATTTGAAGTTCAGCTGGCCCGGGGGGAGGCAGTGCAAATTGGAATGGGATGGCCTGGGTGAAGGCAGCGAAGAATGAGATGATGCAATAGACGGTAGGATGGGATGGCCTGGCAAAGGCAGTTGGCTGAGATTGAGGTGTAACTGGTAGGATATTGGGTACACATACTGGGCATTGGGGTGTACAAGAAGCCAGTAGTAGGATATATATGGGGAGATAATGGGCAGGTGGTACAGTATTACCTTCAAGAAGGTGATTGGGTGAGGGGGACAGGCAATAGGTAGGAAGCAACCCAAGTACAGGGAGGGGTGTGTGGGGGTGTGCATCCAGGGGCACATTGAGGTGTGCAATGAGGCGGTTGGACATCCTGGGAGAGGGAATGTACAGAGGGCGGGTGCAGCATTACACTGAAATACAGAGTGGAGTACATGAGATAGGAAATGGGAAGGGAGGAATGTGAGTTCAGGCAGAGTGTGCGTGTTTGGAGGAGGGTGTATTACACTGCAAAATGAGACTGTGGTATAGGGCTGGGGGAGGTAGTGGGGTGCAGGGCCAGGGAGCACTGGGGTGTATGACAGGGTGGGGAGGCGCACTGGGGTGTATGACAGGGTGGGGAGGCAATGGGCACAAAGTGGGGTGAGGGCAGTGGGGACACTAGCTGGATGGTAGGGCAGTAAGTGCATGACACAGCAGCGACCATGGTGTGTGTATTGTGGCAGTATGATAAGGTGGTGAGCAACACTGAAAATATGATGGGGCAGTGGTCATGGGTGGTAGTGAGTCTGTGACGGGTGGGAGGCAGTGCTGGCACTGTGGGTGAGATGGGCACTCAGGTGGGGGCACAGTATCTGTGATGGGGCAGAGGGGGCAGTAAGTGTGTTGGGACACTGGGTGTGTAATGGGGCAGTGAGGGACAGAGGGAACACTGGAGTGTCATGGGGCAGCAGGTGTGGGGGCAAAGGAGGGGCCATGGAGGTGCAACGGGGATGGTGGGTGTATGATAGGGCAGTGGGCACTCCAGGTGCACAGGGTTGTAAAGGGGGCAGAAAGTGTGTGGGGCACTGGGTGTATGACAGGGCAGTGGGGCACTGGGTGGCAGTGAGGCAATGGGTGTATGATGGGGCAATGGGACACTGGGTGGCAGTAGGGCATTGGGGTATGACGGGGCACAGAGCACTATAGGGTAGGGTAAGGCAGTGAGGCACTGGGTGTATGACAGGGCAGTGGGTCACTGGGGCACTATAGGGTAGGGTAAGACAGTGAGGCACTGGGGGTATGACAGGGCAGTGATGCATTGGGGAGCAGGGAGCAGTGAGGGTACGAGAGGGCAGCGGGGCACTGGGGGAGCCCCGGGGCGGCCTCACCTTGTAGTAGGCGTACTGCAGGAACTTGTAGGGCTCTCGCCTCTGGAACTCGTCGAGCACCTCGCGGCTGGGCTGGGACTGGCGGAAGGCGGGCAGCCCCTGCTTGCAGCGCTTGAGGCACTGAGCCCGATGCAGCACGTCTGCGAAGAGGCGCAGCTCCGGGAAGCCGTCGAAGCGAGCCGGGGAGCCGCGTGGCGGCAGGCGGGCGGCGCTGCAGTTGAGGTGGCAGAAGGCCTCGCTGTCCCGCAGCAGGCGGTGCAGCCGCATGCTCACCTCCAGGTAGCTGACGCTCTCGGGCCAGTTCTCGCTGCTGTACTGGTCCAGGCCGTAGCGGTAAGCGGACTCCAGCGGCATCAGCTCGTCCCGGGGAAAGCTCTTGAAGCTGTAGCGCTCGTACTGCGCCCGCGCCCCGGCCAGCAGCAGCCCCAGCAGCAGCCCCAACCCCATTGCTCCCGGCCGCTCGCAGCCCATCCTACCCGCCGCCAGCACTGCACCCCGACCCGGCACCACGGGACAGCGACCAGCCCGGCCGACGCTCGGAGAGCGGGCGAGGCGGAGCCTAGGAAAAATGGACAATAGGCCGTCCGCCCGCTTTGCACGGGGGGAGGAGACGGGCCGGCAGGCAGCAGGGGAGGGGAAAGAAGCACTGCGCCTGCCCGCCCAGCAGATGAGGTGTCAGAGCCAAAAAAGGGAAGGGAAAAGAACCGTCAGGCACCCAACTGCTGATCCTACACAGCAAGAGACACCTTAGCAGTACCAGGTTTACAATGGCACCAGTGGCTCCATGGAGCCTTGCCCATGCTCAGAAAAGGCCCTGGTCTGCTCCACTTACACTGCACCCTGAGACCACGCTGCCTCCCCGCCCTACTTGCTCCTCTGAGCCTGGCCGCCGGCTGGTCAACGCCTCCTAATCTCTGCCCCCCTGGCCTCACGCCGCTGCTCCTCTCTGCCCCCTCGCCGGACCCCAGTGAACCTGTGGCTCCAAACAGTCACTGCTACCGACCACTTGTGGGACAAACCTGTCTGCCTGGAGCTGAGCCACTTCGGACTGCTGCAGACGCCTGGCCAGTCTCATCCAGGTAGCGGGTGGGGGGCCAGTGGACAGTGTGGGGGGCTTGGCGAGGCGCCTCCAGGTAAGAGCGTCTCGAGGGAGCTGAGCCCATAGCAGATCCACGCTCAGATCGCTACCCGGCCGCAGGTCTCCCTGCGGCACAGGCTTTTGCCGCCTGGTCCTCGCTTGCTTCCGCAGAGGTCTCGCAGGCCGTAGCCACCTCGCCCGCCGCAGCCCAGGGCGAGGGCTTGGGGCGCCCGGCCCCGCGGCGTCTTTGTTTTTCTTACCAGGCGGCGCTCTTGCCCCCTTGGCAGCAGGTGTGGGAGGCCAGCTGGCCGGAGCGGCGGCAGGCGCCCCAAGGCCTGTCTGCCCTCGCGCTCCCTGCCCGCCGCTTCAGCTCCGCCGCTGGAGGCTGGGAGAAAGGAAAGCCAGAAGCCTTGCCGTGCGGCGCAGCCCGGGCCTTTGGGGTGGCTGGTTGAGGGAAGCCCTTTGCCAGCCTGCCTCCTTGGCAGCTGGCCCTTTGAAAGTGAGGGGAGGGAGGCAGCCGCTGTCCTTTTGGCCGGGAAGGCTGCCTGCGGGCCTGGAGCAGTCCCTGCCTCGGCTCGGGGCCGGTAAGTGGGAAAGGTGGGTGCTGGTCGCCTCTGGGCTGGTCTCCCTGAGGAGGCGGCGGTGGCCCATCCTGCCTCCCCCGGGGCCTTGCGAAGCGGGAGACGGGCCCGGGGGGAGGCCCCCGGGGGCGCGTCCCGGGTTTCCCGGAGCGAGCAAAAGGCAGGCCAAGTGCGGGAGGGCGTCCCCAGGGAGGCGTGAGAGCTGTGTCGAGGACCGGGAGGTGTGAGGAAAGGCGAGCGGGCTGTGCGGGAGCTGCCCCTGCGGGGTGCGTGCAGGTGAGGCGCGGGAGCGGGCGTGCGGGCGGCAGCCCCGTCCTGGGCGGTGCGTTTCCCCTGTGGGTTTTGTGTCGGGGTGTGTGCGTGTGTGTGCGTGCAGTTTGTGAGGGCGTCATCTGAGGAGCGAGTGCGTGGTGAGAGGGGAGCGGGTGTGTATTTGTGGGGGGTGGGGAGGAGGGTTCGTCGCGGTGCGTGTGGGCCGGGGGTCGGGGGCTGCGGATGGTGCTGCGGGGCGTGAGCCTGGGTGTGTGGAGGCTGGGGTGCGAGGCCGGTGGCGCGTGCGTGCGCGCGTGCGTGAGGGCGTTGCGGACCCGGTGTGGGGGTGGGGAGGGGTCGGCATGGAGTAGGCAGGGCGGTGTCTGTGGGCTCGTTTAAAGGCAGGCAAAGCGGCAGGCAGCAGCGTCTACGGCCATACCACCCTGAACACGCCCGATCTCGTCTGATCTCGGAAGCTAAGCAGGGTCGGGCCTGGTTAGTACTTGGATGGGAGACCTCCTGGGAATACTGGGTGCTGTAGGCTTTTGCCGGCCCTCGCCACGCTCCCTGCCGCTGCCCGGCTGCAGGTCTCCCTGCGGCACAGGCTTTTGCCGCCTGGTCCTCGCTTGCTTCCACAGAGGTCTCGCAGGCCGTAGCCAGCTCGCCCGCCGCAGCCCAGGGCGAGGGCTTGGGGCGCCCGGCCCCGCGGCGTCTTTGTTTTTCTTACCAGGCGGCGCTCTTGCCCCCTTGGCAGCAGGTGTGGGAGGCCAGCTGGCCGAAGCGGCGGCAGGCGCCCCAAGGCCTGTCTGCCCTCGCGCTCCCTGCCCGCCGCTTCAGCTCCGCCGCTGGAGGCTGGGAGAAAGGAAAGCCAGAAGCTTTGCCGTGCGGCGCAGCCCGGGCCTTTGGGGTGGCTGTGTGACGATGTGACTCAGCAGGGAGGGGGGAGTGTTGACCTGGGAATGTGCCCTGGGGATGGGAGACCTGAGAGCCTGTCACCTGAGCCGGGAGGGGGAGGGGGAGGTAACACCTCTGCCCAGGAATGTGAACAGAGGCTGCAGCAGGGAACCTGCTGGGTGGGTTTAGTTGGCAGTTTGGAGGCTGGGGAGAGGAACACAGGGAACCCCAGGGCTGGGGTCTAAGCTCCCTGCTCCCCCAGAAGGACGTGATTGAGGGGTCCTGGTTGTACCCACAAGCTCTGTTGTGGACTGTGTTCCTGTTGTCCAATAAACCTTCGGTTTTACTGGCTGGCTGAGAGTCTCAGTGGATCCCAGGAAGAGGGGTGCAGGGCCTGGACTCCCCCACACTCCGCGACAACTGGTGGCAGCGGTGGGATCTACTGCACCCCGTGAACGGCGCTTCCTGCAGTAAGTGACTGGGGAACAGTAAAACGAAGGGGAATTGATGGGGACCAGGCGTGCTGAAGATTCAGAGAGAGACGGTTTCGGGGGGCGGCTAACCCCTGGGAATGTGTGACCAGAGAGAAAGACTTTTGCAGTAACAGGGTCCCCCGGGGGATTGCAGCGAGCGGTCCCAGGGGCGGAGGAGTCTGCAGCTCGACCCTGGCAAAGAGGTGGTGACCTCAAGAAGGACTGGCACACTAAGGGCTTTTCCTGGAAACCGTGGGAAGCTGCCCGGCCTGCGAGTGGCCAGCAGGGAGATGTACGCTAAACGCCTTAAGAGTGACCTGGTGGAGCTGTGCAGGCAGAGGGGGCTGCGCATCGGGAGGTCCACCAAGGAACAACTGATTGCCCAGTTGGAGGAGAGGGATCGCTTGGATGACCCGATCCCTGTCCCTGAGGGGAGCCGCCCGGCAGATGCAGCGTGGGCCCTGGGGCCTGACCGGGCTGGGAGGGGTCAGACTGCTGCTGAGGACATCCCGAGACCCTTCCTACCTATGCCTGGGGGAGGGGTTGGGGGAAGCCCAGCGAATACCGAGGGCACCCTGACCCCAGCACCCAGCAGGGGATCCTCCCGGCGGAGCTCCCCATCCCTGGAGCAGAGGCGGCTGGAATGGGAGAGGGAGATGAAAATGAGGGAGCTGGAGGATCATGAAAAACAACGTCAACATGAGGAGAAACAACGTCAACATGAGCAGGAGGAGAAGGAGAAACAACGTCAACATGAGCAGGAGGAGAAGGAGAAACAACGTCAACATGAGCAGGAGGAGAAGGAGAGGGAGCGTCAGGAGAAGGAGAGGGAACGTCAGGAGAAGGAGAAACAAAGACAGCATGAACTGGAGCTGGCCAGGCTGAAGAGCAGTGGGGCCCCAGCTGTGGTGAGTGAGGGGGGACCCAAGACTGCAAGGAACTTTGATAAGTGCTTCCTGGCCCAGCGGAAGGAGGGGGAGGACATAGATAGCTTCCTGACGGCCTTTGAGAATGCCTGTGAGCTGCACAGGGTTGACCCTGCAGACAGGCTCCAGTTCCTCACCCCCTTACTGGATCCCAAAGCCGTGGAGGTGTACAGCCGGATGACAGGGCCGGAGGCAGGGGACTATGAACTGTTCAAACAGGCCCTGCTCCGTGAGTTTGGGCTGACCCCCGAGATGTACCGGAGAAGGTTCCGGAGTCAGCGTAAAACGCCTGAGGTCACCTACCTACAACTGGCCAACCGGATGCAGGGGTATGCCCGCAAGTGGACAGCTGGGGCCCGAGCTAAAGAGGATCTGCTTGACCTAATTGTACTGGAGCAACTGTATGAACAGTGCCCTTCCGACCTGAGGCTGTGGTTGGTGGACAAAAAGCTCGAGAACCCCCAGCACGCAGGGCAGCTGGCCGACGAGTTTGTGAACAGTCGGTCAGGGGGTAGCCGGGGAGGAGTCCCAAAAGAACAGGCCCCCCCGATGCGAGAGAGAGTCACCAGGGGGCCTCCCAGCGGGGAAATAGGGAGAACCCCCTCCCAAGGGGAACGCCTGGCGTCGGGCCCCTCCGACCCGCTCGAGGGGACCAACGTGACCTGAGCTGCTATCACTGTGGCCAGAGAGGCCACGTACGGTCCCAGTGCCCTGGGCTCAGGGACAAACTGAGCAGACCCAACCTACCCAGGGTTAACTGGGTAGGGACCCAGCTGAACGAGGGGCAGATGACCCAGGAAAGGGGGCCTACCAGTTTACCACCTGCTCAGGAGGGAAGAGTACCCCAGGCCAGCTCCACCAGAGGGCTGGAGGCTCTGGACTCAGGGTGCTCAGTTTACAGGGTGGGCGCGGGGCTGTCCCTCCGGAGAGAGTGCCTTGTTCCCCTGGAGGTGGATGGGAGGAAGGTCAATGGATACTGGGATACGGGCGCGGAGGTGACGCTGGCCCGGCCCGAGGTGGTGGCCCCAGATCGGGTGGTGCCCAACACCTACCTGACCCTGACAGGGGTGGGCGGGACCCCATTTAAGGTGCCCGTGGCAAGGGTACACCTGAAATGGGGGGCCAAGGAGGGCCCCAAGGATGTGGGGGTACACCACCATTTGCCCACTGAAGTTTTGATGGGGGGAGACCTAGAGGACTGGCCAAGCAAGCCCCAGACCGCCCTGGTTGTGACCCGTAGCCAGAGCCGGCGAGGGCCACTGCTCCCTGACCTCGGGGAGGGTACCGCACCGGAGGCGCAGGACCCTACCCTGGTGGGAAGGGAGGGCCGAGGGGCACGGCTCAGAGAGGCTGAGGCCTCAGACCTGGCCACTGAGGGGGAACCGGTCCCCATC